CAAAAAACGAGATCAGGTTAGTCTGACATGACTTATTTTTCAGAAATACATGCTGACTATTGGTGATCACAGCATTCCTTTCTAGGTGCTCACAGACTGTTTGCTTAATGATCTGCTCCAGAATCTTCCCTGGTATTGATGTCAGACTGACTGGGCAGTAATTATTTGGGTCCTCTCTTTTCCCCTTTTTGAAAATAGGGACAACATTTGCCCTCCTCCAGTCTGCCGGGACTTCGCCTGTTCTCCAGGGATTCTCAAAGATGACTGCCAGTGGTTCTGAGATCACATCTGCCAGTTCTTTTAATACTCTTGGATGCAGTTCATCTGGCCCTGGAGACTTGAATACATCTAAACTAGCCAAGTATTCTTGTACTATCTCCTTAGTTATTCTGGGCTGTGTTTCCTTTGCTGAATCATTTGCTCCAAATTCTTCAGGTTGGGCATTGTTTTCTTTATCGGAGAAGACTGAGGCAAAGAAGGCATTAAGGAGTTCAGCCCTTTCTGTGTCCCCTGTTTGCATTTCACCATCTTCTCCTCTGAGTGACCCCACTGTTTCTTTGTTCTTCCTTTTGCTACGAACATACCCATAAAAGCCTTTTTGTTGCTTTTAACCTCTCTAGCAAGCCTGAGTTCATTCTGTGCTTTAGCTTTTCTGACTTTGTGTCTACACGTGCTGGCTATTTGTTTGAATTCCTCTTTGGTGGTTTCCCCCTTTTCCATTTTTGTACACATCCTTTTTAATCTTAACTCAGTTAAAAGTTCTTTAGATAGCCACCCTGGCTTCTTTAGGCACCTTCCATGTTTCTGTCTCATTGGTATTGCCTGACGTTGTGCTTTTACTATCTCCCTCTTAACAAACTCCCAGCCATCATGAACTCCCTTTCCTTTTAGTATTACTGTCCATGGGATCTCACCCAGCACTTCCCTAAGTTTTATGAAGTCGGCTTTCTTAAAGTCAAGAAATTGAGTCCTAGTATGCTTGGCTGCTCCTTTCCGCTGTATAGTAAACTTCAGAAGAGCATGATCACTCGCGCCTAATGATCCTTCCACTTCTACCCCACTAACCAGGTCATCAACATTGGTTAGGACCAGATCTAAAATGGCTGTTCCTCTTGTTGCTTCTCCCACTTTCTGGACAATGAAGTTGTCTGCAAGGCCAGTGAGGAATCTGTTTGACCTTATGCTCTTGGCTGAGTTTGACATCCAACAAATATCCGGGTAATTGAAGTCCCCCATTACTACTATCTCCTTCCTTTTGCATGCTTGGCCATCTGTTCCAGGAAGGCATCATCTATGTCCTCCGTTTGGCTTGGGGATCTATAGTAAACTCCCACAATGAGGTCACTGTTATTCTTCTCTCCCTTAATTTTGACCCAAATGCTCTCACTTTGGCTTTGAGGTTCTAAATCTTGGATCTCTTCACAGGTATACACATCCCTGACATATAACGGCACTCCTCCTCCTTTCTTGTCTGGTCTGTTTCTCTGAAATAGATTGTATCCCTCCATTATTACATTCCAATCGTGGGACTTATCCCACCAGGTTTCAGTGATGCCTATTATGTCATATTTAGTTTGCTGTACCAAGAGCTCAAGCTCATCTTGTTTATTTCCCATGCTTTGCGCATTAGTGTACAGACATAATTCTGTATGAAGGGAACCTGGGGGTCATTTCCTCCTTGCACTCTCCTAATGCAAAAACTCCTTGCAGTGTTGTCGTTTTTCTAGAAAAATAGATGCCTGTACTCACCATGAAGCTGTTACAATAAAGTGCTACACTTCTTAACACACACACACACACACACACACACACACGTGCCGGTCCCTTGAGTGCCCCCTGGAAAAAAACCACTGGCTCCTTGAGATTTAAAGGAATACACACCATACATTTAAAGCAGATTTAAAGCGCACACCCTCAAAAATCCTGGGAACCGTAGTTTACCCTGCACAAGGCTACCATTCCCAGTACACTTAACAAACTGCAGCTTCCAGGATTCTTTGTGAGGTGTTTTTTTTTTGGGGGGGTGCACTTTAAAACTGCTTTAAATATATAGTGCGTATACAGATCTGTAACACTGTTTCTAGTGTGACCATAATAATTAGGTCCAAGGCTGTGTAGATATTATGGTTTACTCTGGCCCCAGTGTGCTTCCAAGCTGGCATCTGAAGCAGGGTGCACATGACGGTACCACACTCCACGTGTATCCTGTTGTCTCTTGAGAAATACTGTTGTTGTTTTCTCTTTGTTTTCCCTTCGAAAACTGGTGCGTTTTCCCTTCAAGCCAGCTTCCGTCCAATTTGAAAATGTGAACCACATTTACTTCACAGTTGAGGGAGACAGCTGTTACGCAAGCACAGACGACAGCTTTATGAATAGGCATTTAGGGGGGCTGGAGGTGTGGGGATACCAAACAGGTAACGTGCATTGAGTGAAGACATTCTTGTTGTCCCCCCCCCCCAGGTGTGTACAGCAATGTGCAAATGTGACTTGAAACGTAGCCGGGGGAAACGGCCTTGCTGTGATTTAAGCCACTGATGTGAACATAGCCAAAGTAATGACTGATCAAACTGAGCAACATCAATTTCCCCACCGTGTCATTTTTTTCTTGGCTGGAAAATGTGTCTAAGGAAGATGTTCTAAAATATATCTGTTTATTTGTAGTTAGCTGAGGGCAGAGGGAAATGCCATTTACAATTTAGCTCGAGCTACGTTTCTATTTTAACTCCAGGGACTTAATCCTTGGTAGGTCTTGGCCCCAGCAGATGTTTTCAACGCCAGGGATTAACCCTGTGCGAAGCGCTATGGGCGCCTTGCAGTACTTGCTTGGCTTTGTCCCACACCTTCTAGTAGTCAGAGAGAAACAGGAGTTAGGAGGCTAGGAAAGGAGGACACACGGCCAGAAAACATCCAGAAGGTCCTTGCTTACAGGAAGTATCTGAGACTGCAGTCTAAGCAGCCAATAATGAAATGAGCTCCCTCACCTGGAGAGACTAGCTGTAGGATAGAGAGAAATGCAGGGCACCCAGTGGCCTAATGTTAGGCCCCACCAGCTAACATTCAGGACTGAGGCACCTAGCCAGAGAAGCGCCTAAGAGAAAGCACCAGTGTGGCATAATGGTTAGAAGTGTCTGAGTTGGATGTGGAAGACCAGGGTTCAAATCCCGCCTCAGCCCTGAAGCACACTGGGTTACCTTAGGCCAGTCACTGCTACCTCTCAGCCTAACCTTCCTCACATGGTCATTGTGGGGATTCAGTGAGGAGGAGCAGGAGGCGCATGTAAGGTCCACAAATGACAACATTTTGGAGGTCCCATGTCACAAGGTGGTTAGATTGGTTTCAACTAGGGCCGGGGCCTTTTCAGTACTGGCCCCGACTTGGTGGAACGCTCTGTCACAAGAGACTAGGGCCCTGCGGGACTTGACATCTTTCCGCAGGGCCTGCAAGACAGAGCTATTCCACCTGGCCTTTGGTTTGGACTCAGTCTGACCCTTCTGTTTCCCTCCCCTTATGGTTTTGATCTATGAGCTACTTTTAAAATGAGGCTGCATTTTAACCTGTATTTTAAATTGGGGGTTTTTCCCTCCTATTATGTTTTTACTGTAATTTTACTGGTGTTAGCTGCCCTGAGCCTGGCTCTGGCCGGGGAGGGCGGGGTATAAATAAATAAATATTATTATTATTATTATTATTATTATTATTTATTATGTACGCCACCTTGAGTTCCTTGGACAAAATTTCAAGAAATAAACAAGCAGCATTCTCCAACACCCTTGGCATTCATGCATGCTGATGCCACCAGTCTGGTAGTGCCAATACCACCCATCTTTCAGCGCCAGCCACAGACTTTTCTCTTCCACAAGGCATTTTGGGATGTTTTTCAGCGTTTTCAAAGTTTTTCTAGATGTTTTTAATTATAATTGTTTTTATAATATTTTTACTGTCTAGCTGTTTTGTTTTTGAAATGGTGGTGAGTTTGCCACCCTGGGTTCCTTTTATAGGAAAGAGATGGGATATAAATTCAATAAATAATAAATAATAACAACAACATATGCTGCCTATAAAGTTGGCACCTTGGCCATTGAGCGTTACATGATATTTTGACTGTTCTTATTTCTGTTCCCCTTGCATTTTAAATGGTTGATACCCAACCTGGGAATATTCATGATGAAGGATGGGATATAAATCATACAATAAAGAATTAAGTGCTGTGAGTCCAGCTAAACTGTACCAGTTCAAAGTCTGCTGACATTTTCTCTCCCCCCCCTACAGTTCTGGAAAGGCCAGACATGATTAGAAAATGTTATAGTATGCAGAATACGTTATCTGTGTGGAAACACTTGTTTCCCCACAAGCGTGGAATAACTTGCTTTGCCCCAAAACCTTTCAAGGGGGAGAAAGAAAATGCATTTTCTAAGCAAATTCCCAACTGCAAAGATAGGAGCTGAGTAGGTGTAATCTACCCGAACTATTGTGACTAGGCTGAATAGCAGCAGGAGATCTAGTTTTCCCTCCTGGTGTTTTCCTTGCCACAGTCTCTGCCATAATATTTACAGAATAAATCTGTGACTTGAAAACTTGTCACCTGCAAGGTCCCCCCACCTTTTCCTATTTATTTTTCTTAATCCATAAGGATAATGTGAGCATAGGCCAGGAGGAAAAAACCCTGCAAACGGAATATTTTAGGGAAATAACTACTGAGTAGACCAAGTTGGGTGCAATGCTGTTCATGAAAAGAAAAATAATCAACGCTGCCTGCCAAACAAATGGCAACTCATTCTGCCCTGAATAAGCAGTGACCCGGATCCAGAAAACTGCACAGCTAGTTTCATGGGACTGTGGTGGTTTTGGGCACTTCAAACCACACCTCACGCTGGGTGACAATGGACCACTCACTCATAGCCTAGCCAGCTGCCAAGGGCTGTTGTGGATCATATAATTGTAGAGTTGGAAGGGAGCATGAGAAACCTCTAGTCCAATTCCCTGCAAAGCAGGAATCTTTTTGCCCAGCATGGGGCTCAAACCCATGCCCTTGAGATTAAGAGTCTCATGCTCTAACAACCATGTTATCCAGGTGTTCTGAGACAAGAGGAGGAACAATGTTTGCCACCCCGAGCTCCTTGAACTAAGGGTGGAATTAAAGAAGAAGCTGCATTTAAAGAGTGGGGCAAAATATGCCATAAAGACAATGTACTGAGCATACATTGGCTGTTTCCTGCTTTCTTTGGAAGGAGATGCTTCATAAGACTGACAGCTCTCATTGTCAATAGGGAAGATGAGGCTCTCAAGGCTGACAAGTGTGAGGAAAGAAGACATGAGGGAAGTGGAACTGCCTGGCAACTGGTCTCCCTCTGCCCTCTCAGATTCTGAATCTACATTGCTTTATGGCAAGGAATGCAAAGGGCAGGATTGTGTCCGCTTTAGCAAAGCAATTATTTGCCAAACGTCTCCCTGCCATGCAGCTGTTTAAGGCTCTGGAGGCTCCTCAGACATGGCTTGGCAACCTAGTTCCTGAAAATACAGCGTGCTGAATTGCAGAGCTCAGAATAATCACCTTATGTGTATGATAAACGAGGAAAGAGGCCAGAGAATATGGTAATTGCAAGGCAATAGGCACTGTATATTTGATAAAAGAGAACTTCAATAGCTCAACTTTTTTTTAATTTTAGTGTAACAGAGAATCTTTGCTTCTCTCAACAACTTCTTCCCTCTCATTGACAGTTGATTTACCAACTTTCTTGGCCTTTTCTGCATCTGTTAAATCAAAGATGAGCGACCTTACAGAAGCACCAATGAATTTTTACATATATTTTTTGTTACAGAGAGTGCTAGTATATTCAACAGGGTTCTTATATCAGCCACTTTTTACCGATAATTGATGTATTGTGTGGGACACATTTATGCAGGGGAGATGGCAGTTCGCTGCTCTCACTTTGCATAAAAAAAGATGTCGCCATATTTTAGAGGAGGCTGGCAATGAAGACAAGCAACAAATTTGCTCGCCAATTGAAGAGGCTGAAAATATCAGCAGCTTCTTCCATTTCACTGCTGTGCTGGTTATATGTGTCCTTATGAACCCAACACTGGTAGAGCCTCCTGGAAAGTGAGCCAGAACTTCATTTTCATAGGAAGTCTAGGATTAAGGAATGAATAATGTAACATCCTCCTGCATTACTACGCAAGGTTAGCTGGCAAGATCAATCTTCATGGCCAAACCATACCACGATCACTTTTTCCTGCCTTAAGTAGCCAATTACAATTCATGACCACAATCTGAAGACTGGTGAAATTAAGTCCCCTGAAATCAAGGGCCTTAAAAGGTGCCTTCCTTTGCTTTGGAACCTAGCCCCAGTCTTTTCCAAATGCTGATTAAGTGGCTTGGAAATAATGCTTGGTCTCTAGAGCGACCGTTGGGTGTCTGGGTGGGGTTCAAGTGAGGGAGAAGGGTAGGAGGCCACATACAAGTCTAGTGTCCTTGTTCCCACTGGCTATACTTCCATTCTTCATGAGTTCAAGCAGGTTCAGCTGAATGAGGTCATGCCTGGAATTTTCTGAACATCTTGATGTCAGACTTATCCACATATTTTTCACAGTTCCACTGAAATAAGAAAGAATGATCTAATATTATATATATGTTCACACGCTATTATATGTACAATATTATTCATATATCATATACATGTATGCTCGGTTTTCAAAAGCAACCAGCAAATAAACAGATACACACAACAAGGGATATAACTCTATACAACTATTTATGTATTAATATATTTATAAAACTATGCGGCAGAAATATAGTACTGCACAGGGTTTGACTCTTTTATATGTATAATTTATGTTGCTTTGGTTTGGGTTTTTTTGCATATCATTTTGCATATAATTAGTGCCCAGTTTGTTTCCAAGCCTAATTTAAAGTGCTGGTTATTACCTCCACATCCCTTAGTACTTGGGACTAGAATATTAAGTGTCTGCCTGTCTTCATATGATTTACAGGAGGGCTTCTTCTATATCACACCAATGCTTGAAGTGTTGTTGGCCGCACCATACATTTAAATCACATTAAAAACACCTGACACCCCACCGCCCCCAAATACAGTCGTACCTCAGAAGTCGAACAGAATCCATTCCGGAAGTCTGTTTGACTTCTGAAATGTTCAACTTCCAAAGCGCAGCTTCTGATTGGCTTCAGGAAGCTGCTGCAGCCAATCGGAAGCCGCGGAAGCCCCGTCGGACATTTGGCTTCCAAATGAACATTCGAAAACCGGAACACTCACTTCTGGTTTTCAATCGTTTGGGAGCCAGAATGTTCGACTCCCAAGGCGTTCAGGAGCCGAGGTACGACTGTACAATACTGGGAACTGCAGTTTACCCCTCAAAAGAGCTACAGTTCACAGCACCGTTAACAAACTATTGTTCTTATGATTCTTTGGGGGAAACCATGTACTTTAAATGTGTGGGTTGAGTGTGACTAGGCCAAGCCTTCTGGGTTGCACACTGTGGATGGAACTACTTTCCCCAAGGGAGGCTCCTCTGAGCCCTTCCTTATTCATCTTTTGCTGGCTATCGAAGACATTCCTCCCCTCAGCTCCCAGTGAACAGTATTGTTTTTCTGCTGATGCTTGTTCTTTTTGCTGATTTAGTTAATGTTTTCTTTGCTGCTCAATCTTGTATATATGTGTATTTGTGCGATTTCCTTTGACTGGATTTTTGTTCGTTTGTTGTGCACCACTTAGGAGGTATTTATTTTACTTATTTAACAAGATTTATGGACCACTTAATCAAATTACATAAATCAAGTAAGTAGCTTACATAAAATAGTATAAATAGTCATAAGAAACCAACAGGCTTAAAAAAACCTCAAATATACATAATAAAATTACACGTCTGGGTAGGCTTGCCAAAACAAAAGCATTTTACAGTGGTACCTCGGGTTAAGTACTTAATTCGTTCCAGAGGTCCGTTCTTAACCTGAAACTGTTCTTAACCTGAAGCACCACTTTAGCTAATGGGGCCTCCTGCTGCCGCCGCGGCTCCGAAGCACGATTTCTGTTCTCATCCTGAAGCAAAGTTCTTAACCCAAGGTACTATTTATGGGTTAGTGGAGTCTGTAACCTGAAGCGTATGTAACCTGAAGCGTATGTAACCTGAGGTACCACTGTAGTAGATACTGAAAACAGTAAAATGAAGGCACCTTTGCAATGTTAATAGGGTAATGAAACAACTTATAAATATAATACTGGATGACTCATACCTGACATTGCTCAAGTAGGCTAAGAAAACAATCAGTGCAGTTTAGAAAGGCTCAGTCTGCCTGCCATCTTGGTCCAAAATGGCATCCAATTGTATCCCAATATAGATGAAAACCTGCCCCTTGCTCTGACAAACCACCATGCAAAATTGGTTATGATATTTTAAGAGGTGTCCAGATACATGGTGAACAACTTTCCAAAATATATAGAATTTGAAATGTAGCCCACTGACATGAAGGAAAAGGCATTTGTAAGTATCACTGTTTCCAAGAAAGCCTCAGTAATTTGAGCTGAGCAGGAGGTTTGTTACAGTTTTGTCTCAGTAATTTGGAGATGTGTAAACTGTACTTCACCCATGTGGATACAACTTATGTTCTTTGCTTTGTTGTACTCGCTGCTTCCAAAGGAAGCCATTTATTATTATTTTAAAAATGATGCTTTGTGCTATATTTGACAAGTGTGAAATATTCATAAAATGTAGCCCAAAAGCTTGAAACCTTGTGTATTGTTCATCACTGTCCACTTTTTTTTTGTTTGAAAACCACCAGGGTGCAATTGACTGCTGCTATAAGAAAATAATTCCTCAGTTTGTGTTGTTATCTGACCTATTCTTGTGCTTGTAGACCTCAGCAGCACACATTCATCTTTCTTTTTTGCAGACTCATTTAGCTTTCTTTTATCGTGTGGCAGCAATTCTCATTCTTCTGGCACTGACCTTTCAAACTCTCTTGATACCTCTTGAATCCAGAGTCTGCCATTCTTATTTTTACTTTCTGGGTTCACATCTGGTACTAATGAGCCTCCTCTTACCAAGAAACTAGGCTGCTGATTTCCTAAAGAGATAAAAGACATCCATTTTCCAGCCAATAATATCTGCTTGTGGAAACGGTTGGCTCAATGTTAGCACAGTGAGGGGGAAAAGAGGCCAAGACATTTAGTGATGTACAGGTGTTGACTGATGTACAGGTAAATCTAGGACTGCTCTTAACAGCTCGGGGGGAAATGATTTCCTCTAATTGGGTATTTTCTGCCCTAAATTTATATTTCAGCAGGCTTCTTGAGCTGTAGCTCCCAGGTATAGTATATTGTTCTAGGCTTGGGAGGTCAGCCTAGATCAGGGGTCAGCAAACTTTTTCCGTGGGGGGGGGGGCTGTCCCTCAAACCTTGTGGGGGGGGCCTGGACTATATTTTGAAGAAAAAATCCCCCCCCACGACTCTCCCTTCCCTTCTCCACAGCACTGGATGAGCCCCGGTGACTGCTTACCTGTGCCTTGCGAGTGGCAGGGGCTGGTGGCAGCGGCAGAAGGACGATGAGCAGTGCAAAAGGACTGGCTCTGGAGAGGGGCTGCTTAAAACGGCGCTCAACCAACTGCGGCTCAACAAAGCCCAGTCCCCTTCCCCCTCTAGGCAGGGTGGGGAGAAGCCAGGAGGAGGGAGGAGGCGCTGGCACGGTGTGTGAGGGAGGGGACGGGAAATGGTGCAGACTGAACGATCAGAATCAGATCCATGCCAATCCACGCAGCGATTCCCGGACTGTCTGCGGGCCGGATCCAGAAGGCAATTGGGCCGGATCCAGCCCCTGGGCCTTAGTTTGCCAACCCATGCCCCCCCCCCATATCCATGGGTCTCTTTTAGGCCTGTGATCCTGCATCTGCGAGGTTAAAACCTGCTGAACCAGCCAAACCTGTTCCTTTGTTAAGGTAATGGCCTTAACCACTCAGCTAAGTATCTATCATCAGCATCTGTTGCCATAGAGATAGATGGGTGGATCCTTTCCCTTCTTACCTGGCTAGTCCTAGGATGGAAGAACAATAAGTCAAGGCAGGTAGTGTATGGGTTTGGGCTGGTGCTGGAAGCTGGTGAGAGAGAGGCTTGTCTTGCTTTGTACTGGACTCAAAGCTATGGCTTGAAGATCTGCCTGGGAACCTAGTGGGGAAACAAGGTTTGTTGGAGTGTTATTACCAACATATTAGTAACTAGCAGGTCAAGTGTGTGTCTTTGTATAAGTGTGCATAACTGAACTGTTGTTATAGCAAGGTCAAACTTTGTGTGTTTATCTGTACATAAGCTAGGTATTGCACGAATCTGCTCATCTGTGTCCTTATAACTATGTATACGGAGAAGAAATCTGATTCTTTTTTGAGCAAGTTGTGAATTGCTTTATAATAGACCCCAAAATGCACAAATGCATTTTGGGCAGCATCCATAGACATATCAAACAAACAAACAAATAAATATTTCCTAAATAAATCTAGCATACAGTCGTACCTCGGAAGTCGAACGGAATCCATTCTGGAAGTCCATTTGACTTCCAAAATGTTCAGAAACCAAGGCACGGCTTCCAATTGGCTGCAGGAAGCTCCTGCAGCCAATCAGAACCCACGGAACCTGTGTCAGACGTTTGGGTTCCAAAGAACATGCGCAAACCGGAACACTCACTTCTGGGTTTGCAGCGTTCAGGAGCCAAAACGTTTGACTTGCAAGGCGTTCAACTTCTGAGGTACGACTGTATTTTCTAAAAAAACCAATCTGTTAGTCTAGCTCCACTCTGCACCCATGGTCATTTGCTATCCATTTCCTTTCCTTTCTGAACCCTCCGGTGTTTTTCTATGTCTTTGCTAATATTTTTTTTGGGGGGGTGGAGTGGCATTGATTGTGCATTTGAGTGCTCTGTCATGGGTACATGGATTATCTGTGGAACTAGACTCACTCTCAGACTTAGTGTTCCCCATCTATAAAAAGGAAAAATTTTTTTTTATAGGATACCTTTTAATGCTTAATTCCTTAATAATAAAAAAATTCCTGGTGACTGAGAGTGGCCGCTGGGGCCATATAACACCAGTCCTAAAGGATCTTCACTGACTCCCAGTACATTTCCAAGCACAGTTCAAAGTGTTGGTAGTGACCTTTAAAGTAAGGTTACCAGACGTCCTCGATTCCTGGGGACAGTCCCTGGATTTACAAACCAGTCCCCATACAAAATCCATTGAAGTTGAAATGTGTCCCCGGATTTATTGAAAAAAATCTGGTAACCTTAACCCTAAACAGCCTTGGCAGGTATACCTGAAGGAGCGTCTTCACCCCCCTCACTCAGTCCAGATACTGAAGTCTTCCTCAGAGGGTCTTCTGCTAGTTCCCTCACTGTGAGAAGCAAAGTTACAGGGAACCAGGCAGAGGGCCTTCTTGGTAGTGGTGCAGAACGCCCTTCCCAGTGGTGGAGGAAGGGGGGCGGGGGCGGTCCACCTTGGGTGCCAGCTGGGGGGGGTGACATCGCAGTGGGCGGGCACCTCCCCCTTGGGATGCCCGCATGTGTGACGTGCCATGCCGCCCCGGGTACCGAAGCCCCTTCCTCTGCGACTGGCCCTTCCTTCAGATGTCAAGGATATAAACAACTATCTGACTTTTAGAAGACATCTGAAGGCAGCCCTGTTTAGTGAAGTTTTTAAGGATGGATGTTTTTATTACGTTTTTAAATGCATGGGGTAATTAATTAATTAATTAATTAATAATAAATGCAGTGTGTGTGTATGACTTGCACATGAAGTCTGCTGTTGGGCTCACTTGCTTGAGTTATCCGCACTGCATGCACTTTTAGCTCTGACTTTGTGTCTGGGATGTGGAGGTAGGGTGTGTACACTCAACAGCTTGTTGTGCACTTGGTGCTGCTTATGCTTGGAAATTCCTTGCTCGTGACATCACCATCCCAATGCCTGTTTTTTCTTTGTTTGAGGTGGATTTCCCCTAACTGTGGAAAATCCAGTACATAAAAATAGCCAATGCATTTGCTGTCATTGCTGGCGTGGAAACTTCTGAGTGCATTTTCTTTCAGGGCGCCGTGTTGTCACATGTGTGCTGACCTTGCAACGAGTGGCCTCTGTCACCCCAGCGCTACCTCCGTTTGTTACTCACATTAGCAGATTTGTGCAAGACCTGTAATAATAACGATAATAAAAATGCTTGGGGTTGTCTAGTCCTCTGAGGTTAGGGTATGTGTATGTCAATCTTTTTTGTAAATTAAGATCATTCCTCTCCCTCAACCTTCCCCAGCTTGATGTTAAGTTTTAGCTTAAAGCAGTGCATTTTTTAAAAGGGGAAAAAAGGTGTCAGTACTCACCATGAAGTTGTTATAGTAAGTGCCACACTTTTAACATTTGGAAAAAAATATATATGCCAGTACTGCGTACTCTTGAGTATCCAGAGGAAAAAACCCACTGGCTTAAGGCATTTAGGGATCTGATGATAAAGGGAAATCTACCCAGTCTTCCTAAGACTGTTCTAGCTCAATAAACTCCTGCAGAGGTTTTTGAAATAAACAGCAAGAGGAAGCAAAGGGTGTTTCCTGCTGCATGATGAGATACTTGGAGAGCTTTGGAAAAAACAGCAGGAAGCAGCTCAGGACTGATTTGATTCCCCTCCCTGTTCTCAGCAACATGGTCAGATCCTTGGGTGCTTTAAGGCTTCAGGTTTTATGTGTGGTTGACCATCAGTTGGAAAAGCCTGGTAGAGAGGAATTATCTTCATTTACAGAAAGCTCAGCACATGCACACATCCCAGTCAGAGGTTTAAGCAGTCTCACATTTGTTTTCGTTATAACAGATCTTGCACAATTCTCTTAAAACAGGAATGTGCAATGATAATTTTTAAAAGAGGCAGCAGCATGGTGCAGTTTAATATTGTAAGCCAAGAGCAGGGAACCTTTCCTGGTTGCAGGGCCAGAGTTTATCTATTTATTTAAACCATTCATATACTGCTGAACTATAACAGAATAACAGAATTGCAGAGTTGGGAGGGAACCTGAGGGTCATCTACATTGTCCCCCATCCCAAGTGAAACCATACCAGACCCTGCTTAGCTTTCCAAATGTGCTAGCCGTTTTATTGGTGCTTACGACAGGTTTTATAAGTGATCCTTAGCACACGCTAAGGCAGGGGTTGGCAAGGTTTACCTCGCCTTGGCCGGTTCACTCCAGCGGAGTTCCGTCTGTGGGCCAGATCGTGTGCATGTGTGAGCGCACCAGCCAGCGATTCCCGGAGTCTGCGTCTGTGCAGACGCGATTTCCAGCGCCGCGGAAGCGAATCCCCGCACCGTGCCGGTTTAGCACAGCGCGCAGGTACTCGCCAAGTGGGTGGCTCAGTTCAGGGGCGGCTCAGGGGCCGGTTAAATGACTCCCATGGGCCGCTTGTGGCCCATGGACCTTAGGTTGCCGACTCCTGCACTAAGGAGTAAAGCAAACAGCAGCTTTCTGAGTAAGACTAGGAGAGTGTGTGAAAATGGTGGCCCAAGAGCCCCATGTCATGCAGTTGGACTGAGCTCAGAGGGAAAGAAGGTGAGTAAGAGGGGACAGAAAAGAGCTGGGGTGATGGAAGTAGGCATAATCCCACTGTAAACAAACAGTTCAGACCTCTGGCAAGGAGGAGGGAAGCTGAAATGGATCGAAAGAAAGATGGAGGAGCAAGTTCTCCGTAAATAATTGGCTGGATAAGTAGGAGAGAAAAAATAGAGTGTGAGAGAGAAAGAAGGGAGAAAAGGGGTGCAGCTACTCACTCACTTTTGGCCCTGGTCCCACCCACTGCCAATATCTTCCCCTCACAAGAGATTATCCCTGAGATAATGAGCCCTTCCTAGATAAATGATTCCCATGCCTGCTCTGGAAGCAGTGGACTTTGGCTGTTTGTTGGAGTGCTTAAACTGGGCCTCCAACTAAGCTTAACCTGTCTATCTGTGTAGTGTAATACAAAATGATAATAAGCCTCCAATAACCTCTTTCCAAACCTGGGTATGTACTGGAACTTCTTGCTGCTCAGAGAGGAGAGGTGAATGTAAACCAATTGATTTTTATTATTATTTTTATTATTTTGCTGCCTAGAAATCAATAGAACTTTAGTTACATGTAGAACTACATAGATAACAGATTTTGAAGCAAATGGGCAGAATACAGCGTGTTCTGCTGACTCACAAGAAGGCACTGGGGGTGGGTGGGTGACCCATCAGATATGTAAAGATTTTTGTGAAGGAAGTGACTCTATCTCCATAATGTGAGCCAGAGGAAAGATGAGATGAAGTGAAGAAAAGCAACACTTGTTGGGGTACATGCACAAGTTTATAGATTTTTAAAAACAGAAAAGGTAGATAAATTGAACAATTTATTTGCCACCTGAAGGAATTATGAGAATCTAACACTATCATTTCTATCCAGGTTGTATGTGGTCATGTTCTCTTCAGCACTAATGTCATAATTTCAGAGTTCTATATTCTTCAGTTCTATATCTTTCCTTCAAAGTATAAAGTGCACAGCAGTCATCAAAGGATATATCCTTGAAATAATTGTACTGGAGTCTTTTCAGATATTTTGAACAACATAGCATAAAAAGGTAACCTTCTTCTCTTGACTTCGCCAGCTAGGGCCGGGGAAACTTTTCTGACTTGCTATAAATGAAGTATCATGTTAATAGTGCAATCCTATGCATGTCTATAAAAGGGATGCGGGTGGCGCTGTGGTTTCAACCACAGAGACTAGGGCTTGCCGATCGGAAGGTTGGCAGTTTGAATCCCCGCAATGGAGTGAGCTCCTGTTGTTTGGTCCCAGCTCCTGCCAACCCAGCAGTCCAAAAGCACATCAAGTGCAAGTAGATAAATAGGTACCGCTCCAGCGGGAAGGTAAAACGGCATTTCCGTGTGCTGCTCTGGCTCACCAGAAGCGGCTTAGTCATGCTGGGCACATGACCCGGAAGCTGTCTACAGACAAATGCAGGCTCCCTCGGCCTATAGAGCGAGCTGAGCGCGCAAACACAGAGTCATCAGCAACTGGACCTAACAGTCAGGGGTACCTTTACCTTTTATGCATGTCTATCAGTAAGAAAGAAGTCTTACTAAGGTCAATGGGACTTAGTTCCCAGTAACTGAGCATAGGATTGCAGATTAAAACTCATAATTTCCAGAACAAAATGACCTCCTAACCTTTTAGTTTTCATAATATAAGGAGAATACCTATTCACCCTGGACACAGATACATTAGTTAAAAGAACAAACAAACCATGTTATAAATGTGTTGTAACACTGTGACACCAGATAGAGCTGTAGAGCTGAAATCAGAACTGAATACCATATATACTCGAGTATAAGCCGACCCGAATATAAGCCGAGGCACCTAATTTTAGGACAAAAAACTGGGGAAACTTATTGACTTGAGTTCACCACACCACAAACCTGGTGGTGGTGGCAGTGGAGGAGGAAGAACAAGCAACTCGTTCCTCCTCTGCCGCTGCCAACAGATAGAACTGCCAGATAGAACTTATCCTGTGCTTAGGTATTGGGGAACTTAGAGGAAGGATGTGCCTGACTCGTGCCTGACTTGTTCAGGTGAAGTGCCAGGCAAGAGATCAGGGCTTTTCTTTTTGAAAAACATTTATACAGATTTGTTACAGAAAAAAAAGTGCAAACATGAAAGAAAGAAAGAAAGAAAGAAAGAAAGAAAGAAAGAAAGAAAGAAAGTCCAAACTCTGCACATGTTCCATTGTGCTCTGGTGTGCCTTGGCTCAGCTGAAATAGTTGTTCTTTATTGTCTATTGTTTGGAATATTAATTTTCTTAGTTTCTTAGTGTTAATTGGTGGGGTGAGTGTAGGGAGGGAGGAAAACTGAATGCAACTGGAAGCAAGTGTTCTTCACGTTTTAAAAGTTTGTGTGTGTTTAGTTTATTGGCAATGGAAGTGTAGGTGTAATCAATACTCAAATTCAAAAATGTACATCATGGGGGTATGGCTTAATTTCTAAATCACAGGTACAGAATAAATTTTGTCTGAAAATCTTCCTGGACCCTCTTACATGGAAACTCTTCCCTGTCCATGGAGAAAAATTGATGGATTTATTTTATTTTTTAGTCAGGAGATGACACTCTGCACATGTGTAATGGCACACTTTTCTGAACAAGTTCTGTACAAGTTGAATTGTGATGAAAACAACAATATTAAAAAGCTCTAAAAAGTCAAAATGTTCTAAGCTGGCACTGCAGTTCTAGGAAAGTACCATCCTTGATCAACTAATGTCATACTGAATTCTGTATTTCCCCCTTGATTGTCAAGGTCAGTCTTTGGTATAAATAGAATGCTATTTCCATTACACTCCCTCCATTCTGGAAATCATTTGTCCAAGGCATTACTAAGAATCATTCATATTGGGCAGCCATTTTATTTATTCATTCATTTATTTTAAATGTACCACAGGATTTAGGGCAGGGTTCCCGTTTTATTCTAATCTTTCTCAGACATTTATGTGATTTGCACTGATTATCTCAGAACTGAGCCATGCTGAAATTCTGTAATTACGGTCTGTTCGATGAGAAGGACCATAAAAATTACACACTGTGCTTGTTTGTTTAATTGACTGGTAGCTATTACTTTTAGCAATATAATTGGTGCCAAATAATAACAAATTGACTTGGGGAGCATGTTTTACATTCTGCGTGGAAAACAGGGTGGGCGGGTTTTTCCGGTTCTTTAAAAATCACAACTATCTCCATTTCATTATCTTAATAATTAGGGCAATGTATTACAAACTGTGTGCCTAGGTTCTTAAATAAGGATGGTTGTCTGCAGCAAAACTATGCATATCACAAAGCGGGGACTGAACTTGATACAGCTGTGAAAATCTAAGAAGCCTGCCTGTTAAGGTTTTATATAGCTATTTTAATATGAAGCAGCACAACTGGTGCCAGGAATCTGGCTGCTTTCCCATTTAAATGTGGAAAGGAAAGGTCAGGCAGAATTGAGTCCCTTTCAAAAGGGAACTTGAAGTGGTCCACGTTACTGAAGATACCCTATGCATTGTTGCTGCCAAGATCATTTTAACCCAGAGCAGGTCCCTTCCTGATCTAAGAGATCATTGGGAACTTTTATGGGGAAACTGGTCCCCTATATGCTGACGACCCCAGGCCTTTGGGGATTTATAGGTTACCAGTGACTAGTGCCTGGTGGCCACTGGAGAATCTACACCCACCAATCTTTTGGTCATGGTCCCGCCTGAATTAGGAGGTGAGGAGATATATTCTACCACAGGCTACTGCGTCAGAGCATTATTGAAGCATTATGAGGGAAGCCTCATTTAGGTAAGTCAATTCTATTACAGCGAACATTTGGCAACTTGGTTGGCACACACATTCATGCACATAATCTGTATTTGAATGTAGATTTCAAATCCCTACAACTGTGAATTTCTAATATTTTTTTCAACCAGAATGACAATATGCTTTGTCCTGCAACATCAGGTTTTAAGGTAACAATAATTTCATGTACTTCAGTTGTTTTCACCAGGTGGGTTTTGTTTTGTTGACATGTTGGGAGGGGCCTTTGTCTGCTTGTTCTGTGTAATATGTTCCCAGATCACACAATTTAGTTTTCCAGGATCTCTTTGGCTTATGGTGTTCCCGCCATGCATCTCTTCAGAAGGTTAAGTATTCAAGCCCACGTGATATTCTGGTAGGTATATGTTTTATAATTTTGTATGTTAAAAACCAATAAAAATATGGAAACAGATATTCTGGTAGGTCACTGTTTTCCAGAAATATAGACTCCCCTACCATGCACCAAATGATATCTTTGTTATTGCCACTTCAATTGTAATTATATTTATTTATTGCAATTATATCCCACCTTTTTCTCCAAAGAGCTCAAGGTGGCATACATGGTTCTTCCCCTCCTCATTTAATCCCCACAACAACTCTGAGAGGTGTGAGTTAGGCTGAGAGGAGGCAGTGATTGTCTCAAGGTCACCCAGTGAGCTTCATGACTTTGGGAGGGAGGAATTTGAACCCTGGTCTGGCAGGTCCTAGTCTGATGCTCTAACCACTATATCACACTAGCATCCTGCAGCAGTCACATCAGATTGTGCTCTCATGGCAGTCCACTGCTTGAATTATTTATCACACTGGGTCTTCTAGGCGTTGCTTAAATAATAATAATAAAAAAGTAACCAGGACAGATGGTTTATCTTTGCTAAAATCCCCAAAGTGAAACATGATCAATTCATTATTATTTTACCTCTGGTTTCCAAGAAATCAGCTATGACTGTGACTCATGGCTGGCTCCTGTGATCCACTTCAGAGCCATAAATAGGATGAGCACTCGACATGCACTTGAACTCCTTTCAGAATAAACACTCTGGGCTTGAACACTCTTGTTACTCCCCATTTTGTTACTGACACAATCCCCATTGTTCAACAATGCTCTTTGGCTTTTCACTTTCTCCCCTTCTTCAAAGGTGTAACGGAACTTAAAACAAATAAATTTAATGGAAAGCAGGCAGGGAGTTAAAACTGGGGCTATATACTGGTATATGGCAGTGAACAGAAGGAATTTTAGTCAGGTTATGCACTGTACCACAATGGACTCATTCAGCTATGGGTGTCATAACTGGTTGGCATCCATCCGTCTCGGGAGACAATGGAGGAGTGTGCCTTGAATCTCAAAACCTCAGTATACTCAAACATAATTACAGTGGTGCCTCGCAAGACGAAATTAATCCGTTCCGTGAGTCTCTTCGTCTTGCGGTTTTTTCGTCTTGCGAAGCACGGCTATTAGCGGCTTAGCGGCTATTAACGGCTTAGCGGCTTAGCGGCTATTAACGGCTTAGCAGCTTAGCGGCTTTAAGAAAAAGGAAACAAACTCGCAAGAACTCGCAAGACGTTTCGTCTTGCGAAGCAAGCCCATAGGGAAATTCGTCTTGCGGAACGACTCAAAAAACGGAAAACTCTTTCGTCTAGCGAGTTTTTCGTCTTGCGAGACATTCGTCTTGCGGGGCACCACTGTACTCACAGAGCCAGTGATTAGAGTGTTGGGCTAAAACCTGAGAAACCAGGGTTCAAATCCCTGATCAGGCATTAAACACACTAGGTGACAAGTCACAGTCTCCCACCCTACTTCACAGGGTGGTTGTGAGGATAAAAGAAGAAGAAGAAGAGGAGGAGTTTGGATTTGATACCCCGCCTTTCACTCCCCTTCAGGAGCCTCAAAGCGGCTAACATTCTCCTTTCCCTTTCTCCCCCACAACAAACACTCTGTGAGGTGAGTGGGGCTGAGAGACTTCAGAGAAGTGTGACTGGCCCAAGGTCACCCAGCAGCTGCAGGTGGAGGAGCAGAGACGCGAACCCGGTTCCCCTGATAACGAGACTACCACTCTTAACCACTACACTACACTGGCTCACAGGGAGGAAGAGATCCATGTATGTCACCTTGTGCTCCTTGGAGGATAGGGGTGAGATAAATGCAATGAATGAATAAATGAATATTATAATTTAGCTAGGTTGCCCTCTGAAACAGACTTACTGGAGCAGGGGTGGGTAGCCTTTATGGGCTCACCCTTGGCCAACCTTCTGAGGATTGCATGCCGGCAATGAGTATGGGCAAAAGTAGATGTGACCACCTCACACTCTTGCATGAACACACAGACCCCCCTCCATGCTGATCAACTGAGGAGAGGAGTTTATTCCCTCCTCTCTGCTCATCAGATGGTCAACCTGATGGCTGTTGTTGTTTAGTCGTTTAGTCGTGTCCGACTCTTCATGACCCCATGGACCAGAGCATGCCAGGCACGCCTGTCTTCCACTGCCTCCCGCAGTTTGGTCAAACTCATGCTGGTAGCTTCGAGAACACTGTCCAACCATCTCGTCCTCTGTCGTCCCCTTCTCCTTGTGCCCTCCATCTTTCCCAACACCAGGGTCTTTTCCAGGGAGTCTTCTCTTCTCATGGGTGGCCAAAGTATTGGAGCCTCAGCTTCATGATCTGTCCTTCCAGTGACCTGATGGCTAGGGAGGGGCAATTTGCATTCCCATCAGGGTGCCATGCTCTGCCTTTCCCAGAGCTGGCATACTTCAGTGTAAACATGCATAGGAATGGGCTGTTAGTCATAGGAGGAGTGAATTTGAGATTACAGTTCTCTCAGCCTGCAGTGTTATTCCACATTTCCTCCAACTATGGATGAAAACTACTCCAGGTTTTCCACATCATTAATATTAGAATTCTTTGCTAGACATCTACCCAAATATGGGAACCAACATTTATCCCTTTCTTTGGATTTAATTTAAAATGCAAAGGGCTCGATAAATATTGCAGAAAGCACCGCACACCTGTCCCTTGTACTTCAATTAACATTTTAAGGTCAGAATTATTCCCATTTACTGTGATGTTTGGCCCTCAGTTTTGAGTACATTCCTCTTACCATTTTAAAAAAATCTGATATCAAGTATCTGAAATGTCTTGAATAAATGGTCCCACTATATGCCAACAAATACAGACTGCTTCTGTTTTCTTATTATGACATACAATATCTGTTCAGTGCTTTTCTGTTGTTGTCTGATAAGTGATCACTGTGAATATAACTATTGTTTTATTCAGACTTTTAGCCCATGAAGCTGTGAAAAATGTCTAGTCTTGGTTTAGGAGAAAGATGAGGTTATATGATGAGAACAGAGCTAGCTTCTGCTTCTCTGTGTGTGTTTGTGTGTAAACACTATTCTGGCATTATTCTACTCGTCTGGTAACATCACAGTTTTGGCATACTAATTAACTATATCTAAAAATGACGAGTACTTAGCTCACACAATACATCTATAAAGGCTTTCTAGAATTCAGCTGGTATCCCATCTAATCCGGGATACTGTGTACACGTTAGGGATTGTATGCACATTTTAACTTCTTGCAGGGAAAAGTGGGCAGGGCATGCTCTGCCCTGGTATGTTAATTTTGGTATGTTAATTTCATCACATTTCCCCCGCTCCCATCCCCGCTTCTGTGAGTCATATAGTTCATTATATCTTACAAAGACCTTGATTGCTTCATCATTGTTATATATCTTCTTTGAACCTGCATGCAGATCAGAGAAACTACTCTTTTGAACTGAGCTTCTTTTAACTTCTTTTAACTTCTACCAAGTAACTCAATGGCTTTATTTTGCAAGAATTATTAGTTATGTACTGTAGCTATAATAAATCTTTCCTAATATATCTCAGTTCTGGAGCTAGGCTGGCCAAGGCCACACAGCAGGGTCCACATGCTCAGGTTCCAAAATGCAGTAACACCATGCAGTAACAAGGGGAGTCCAAAAGCAAAGCCAAGGTGAAGCCAAGGACAAGAGAATCACCCCGACCCCAAGTCAAATATACAGTGGTGTTGTTGTTGTTGTTTAGTCGTTTAGTCATGTCCGACTCTTCGTGACCCCATGGACCAGAGCACGCCAGGCACTTCTGTCTTCGATATACAGTGGTACCTCGGGTTAAGTACTTAATTCATTCCGGAGGTCCGTACTTAACCTGAAACTGTTCTTAACCTGAAACACCACTTTAGCTAATGGGGCCTCCTGAGCTGCCATGCCGTTGGAGCACAATTTCTGTTCTCATCCTGAAGCAAAGTTCTTAACCTGAAGCAATATTTCTGGGTTAGCGGAGTCTGTAACCTGAAGCGTATGTAACCTGAAGTGTATGTAACCCGAGGTACCACTGAAATCCAGAAGCCGAGTCAAAGTCTAGAAATTAGCAGCTAAAATCATTCAGAAGGCAGGCAGGATTGTCATGTTTCAGTAGTAAAGAACTGAAAGGCATATTTTGTTCTAGCAATTATCAGATTTCGACTGAAGGGTTAAGATAACCTGGTCTTCCAAATCCTGCTGATAACCAGCAGCAGAGGCTGAAGCCTGCTCTCCAAGGAGCCTTTACTGTTGATGAGAGCAGTTACACCCAAGGACTCCTTTATTCTCAAGCAACTTCTGGGGACCTTGGGTTTCCTGGTGTGCACACCTTCACTAACCAGCTGCCTGTGCCTGGACCTTCTGGTGCTGAAACTCTAGAAGATTGGGAGACGCTTCACCTTCCTCCACATTGACTCAGATCAGGCCTCCAATGCTGCAGGTGAATCAGGAACACAGCCCAATGGTCCTTCAGGGCAACCCTTGGAGGCAGGCCTGGTGAGGACTCTCGCTGGACATCAGGGTCTTATGGATCTGTGCTGCAGTTGGGGTGCTCTGTCTGCTCTCCTAGGTCTCCTGGCTTTGGAAGGTCTTGTTTGTCAGACGCTCTAGCTCAGTCAGTAGAGCATGAGACTGTTAATCTTAGGGTTGTGGGTTTGAGCCCTATGTTGGGCAAAAGATTCCTGCATTGCAGGGGCTTGGATTAGATGACCCTTGCAGTCCCTTCAAACTCTATAATTCTATGATTCTAAGAAGAGAAGTTGCCCAGGGTCAGGTCTGGACTTGGTATGACAATATCCTTTAGGTTAAATGAAGGACATTGTGAGGTTCAGTAGTGATGCCTTTTAGGGTAGGAAAGTGAGCTGTGTCAGAGAAGCTTGAAGAGGAGGCAGACGAGCAATTTAGATCAGCAAAAATCCAATGGAGAAATGGTTCACTCTTCCCTTCTATATCATTGCTTTTTCCTTCAGCACTGCTTTTCCAATCAAATTGGCTGTCTCCTGACAATGCAATACAGTACAAAAAAGAGCCAGCCACATAGCTCCTGTGCCACATCTATTTTGACTCTATGTTTCTAATAACTGCAGCTATGAAGAACTAATAACTTTTGAAATAAATATATGAAACAAGCAAACAAAAATTAAGTGGGTTTTTAAAAAAAACACTTAGAAAGACTTTGCAGGTCCAAAATTTATCCAAGGTGTTATAAGATGTGAGGTGTTGCCAGCAACACATGCAGTAGCTAAGCCATTGAATTACTCGGTCCTTGAAAGCACTGATGACATAGGACTTATCCACACTTACCTTTTGCTCTGTACTTTCCAGGTACAGGCCTGCACTTTCAAGATCTGTGTCCAAGTGCTCTTTTCTTTTTTTTACCCCAGAGCTTCTCCTTCGAAAACTCACTATTTGAAGCAGAAGTGCAACAAATGGCAATTCAGGTTTTCTGCAGATGACAAATGGCCATTCAGTGATAAAGTGTGGGGTTTTCTGCAGAAAGCGCCAGAGGAGAGAAAGAGCACTCAGACGTGGAACTTGAAAGCATAGACAGTGCCTGGAAAGTGTGGAGGAAAGGATAAGTGCATTTCTTTATAGTGAGAAATCTTTGAGGCACATGCCTTGAACTGCAAGAGGAGGAGTTCAATTTCTGCAAGAGCCAAACCTACAGCTTTCAGTGGTGCATATAGGTGTGCACAGCACATTTCATTGGGGGTGCACCCAGTGATTTTTTTTAGAAGGGTGAGCATTTATGGAATACATACCCACACTCGATCATAAAGGACATTTTTATTCATCAGACAAAAGAAACTGACAACAAAAATTGTTATTTTTTTAATTCACAATTAAACTTCACTTAAAATATGCAATTTTTTAAAAAAAATGTGAAACCAAATACTGTACCAAATTTTGCTATAGTAATAACCAGGCATATACAAAGATACCATCAGTTTTCATGATCTTCATCTTTAACCATTAGCTCACCCAAATTAAACAAAACAGGTTAAGGTTCCTTCATTTCCCTGTCCTAGAGAGCAAGACATTGCTCGCCAGCGTGAGGAAAAGGTGGCGAGCAGAGCAGCTGAGAGGGCAGATATGGCACACTGTACTCTCTTGTGCTTGCCATGACCCCCATTTAAAAAATAAAATAAAATTAGGGTGCGCCACACCTATGGTGGTGCATAACTTACTGTAGCATAGTACAGTAAAGCCTTTCTGTACCATCGAGTATGTCAGCCAAAGTTCATATGATCTTTTTGTTCAGCATAAGCTGCTCATTGTTTCACCTAAGTTAATGTGCCAGCTGGTCTTGATCATCGGTTCTAATAGCTAACTTTTACATTTTTCTAATGGAACAACAACACACATAGCAGAAAAGGCATTTTTTCCTATGCCATGAGACTTCACGACTTTCTTATTTTGTCTATCAGGGCAAATGCTAACAAGTAGTTTATGTTGTGCCTAGAGAGCTTATGGCTGGCAGTCAAACACAGAGAAAATGTAAGGCTGGGAAAGAAAGGCAATATTATCTCAGACAAGTTAAAACTTGGCATTTTTACCATCACATGTGTAGGTATTGCTACTGCATTGCTACTGGAGATTAAAATGTATTTCTGATGGTTTATCTAAGGTTACTGTTTACTGACTGGGTTCCATTTGTGAATCACTTCCCACAAAGTATCTCATAATTTAAAAATTGACATTAAAAACAATTCCATATACTGTACACAAAGAACTGAAAGCAATTCTATATTTTAAAACAATGTCAAAGCCAATGAAGATACAGATTAGGATAAAGATCTCCACTGACGAGGTTGTTGAAAAAGGAACATCTTAATTGGCATTTAAAATGCAACAAAGACAGTTTCTGTCCAGTGCATAATGGGAGGTCATTCCAGAGGGTAGGTGCCACCATAACTAAAGGTGTGATTCCTATATAATGGAGCTCCTGACAAGAGTGATGCCTTGAGTTTTTAAGGGGTGAATTGTGCTCCAGAACCAACCCCTTGAACTTCGCATGAAAGCTAATGCAATTCTTTCACCAGCAGCGTAGCATGTGCTGACCGTCTGCGCCATGGAGAAATCAAGCATCACAGTAATCCAACTTGGAGGTTACCAGCACATGGCAACAGCGGCCAGGCTATCCTGGTTCAGGAACAGCTATAGCTGTCTTACCAGACAAAACACTGAGGCCACCTGGCTTTTCCGTTTCAGAGGTGAATCTCCAAGCAACCCCAGGCTACAAACCTGTTCCTTCAAAGAGAGTAAAGGTAAAAAGGTAAAGGATCCCTGGATGGTTAAGTCCAGTCAAAGGTGACTATGGGGTGCAGGGCTCTTCTCGCTTTCAGGCTGAGGGAGGTGGTTTATGTCCACAAACAGCTTTCTGGGTCATGTGGCCAGCATGACTAAACCGCTTCTGGTGCCATGGAACACCGTGACGAAACCAGAGTGCATGGAAATGCCATTTACCTTCCCGCCACAGCAGTCCCTATTTATCTACTTGCACTGGCGTGCTTTCGAACTGCTAGGTTGTCAGGAGCTGGGACAGAGCAACGGGAGCTCACTCCGTCATGGGGATTTGAACCGCTGACCTTCCAATTGGCAAGCCCAAGAGGCTCAGTGGTTTAAACCACAGCACCACCCGTCTCCCTGTTCAAAGAGAGTAGGACCCCATCCAAAGCAGGCAATTGGCTAGTTGGCCAGATTTGGGAACCTCCTCACTCACAGTGCCTCTATCTTGCCAGGATCCAGACTCGGTCTGTTGGCCCCCTTGCAACTTAGTACTGAGCACAGGGACTGGTCCAGGGCTTGCATGGCCTCTCCTGATTCAGTTGTTACAGTGAAAAAGAGCTTTAGCAACATGACACCATTATGTACTCCTGGATTCTTCTCTGATCCTGAATTATCTAAAGTCGTATTCAGGTGTTATAAGCCCAGTGCTTTTTTTTTCTGGGGGGACGCAGGGGTACACATACCCCTAAACATTTTGTGAATCTAAGTTTAGCCTCATTGAGGGGCAGTATTTCAATATGAGTAGGAAAACAAGCCCAACACACAAGTATGGAGTGGGGCTGTACCAAGCAGTCCCACTCCTCACATCATGCATGCCAAGAAGCAAATCCCCCCCCCCCAATTTATATGTACAGCACAAATGTCAGCAGGATGGAGGGAGACTTTGTGCACATAGCTGAACATGCTAAAGCAGGGGTCAGCAAACTTTTTCAGCCAAGGGCTGGTCCACTGTCCCTCAGACCTTGTGGGGGGCCAGACTATATTTTTTTGGGGGGGGGGAAATGATGCAAGAGCACCATGAGCCCAGGTGGCTGCTTACCTGTGTCTTGAGAGCGGCAGGGACTGGCGGCGGCAGCGGAAGGACGATGAGCGGCGCGCGAAAGGGCTCCGGAGAGGGGCTGCTTAAAATGGCGGCCGCTCAAGCGTTGCTGCTGCTGGCACCAACAAAGCCCAGCCCCCTTCCTCCTCTAGGCAGGGCGTGGAGAAGCCAGGAGGAGGGAGGGAGGAGGCTCCACCGCCGCCGTGTGAAGGTGAGGGAAAGAATATGCGCACTGGCGATCCATGCAGAGATTCCTGGACCATCCGTGGACTGGATCCAGAAGGCAATTGGGCCTGATCCGGCCTGCGGGCCTTAGTTTGCCTATCCATGTGCTAAAGCCTCCACACATTCTGGTATGCATGGAAGCAGTGCCAGATTAAACCCCGTGGTAGCCTGTCCATCCTCTCCAGTCATCTGCATCGTGAATGTTTGTTTCTTTTCTTCCATCTTTTCAGGGTTTTGAGGTATTTTTCTTTTACATATTGGTGCAGATAAAATAGTTCTGGCCGTTTGCGGGAGTTTTGCCTTTCCCTAAAATTATATAAATTAAATGAGATTGGCTGCCTTTTGAGGTAATTGGATTAACTCGGACATTTTCAATGCCTACTTCTAGGCAGTGCAAATGGTCTGAAATCAAATGAGGTTAAAAAGTCCCCTATAAACTATGACTGCTGTTACAAAACTTAATTAAGACAGAACAGCAGGCGGTACAAGTGTGAAAGCACAGTGCACATTTTTTCCTTTCTTAAAATTTTTTTTTTTAAAAAAAATGCCAGCATGGAAAAATAGCTCTGATGTCATTAAAGCTAATTGGAAGTGGTGTGTGTATTAAATGATGATGTAATTAATGGGCTAATGAATAGCATATTAAGATTGTTATTAGCAATGAAATTTGAAACGTACATGAAGAACCAGTTAAGGTTATCATATCATTAGAGCCATTACAAAAATCTCCTCACATTATGGTGCATTTTATCAGCTGATAATACTGGACTGCAACTGAGCAGGAGTAATAAAATCTTCTGCTCTTTCACCCTCTCACTTTGTGCAAATTACGTGATAATTGCCATATATTAGTTGTGTGCTCAGGTAAATTGGCCATTCTAATGTTATAGTACAACTTGCCTAAGAAGTATTTTTTAAAGGTAATGTCAGAGCTGGAGTGGGACAAGAACTCGCACCATTACATTTCCATGCTAGTGACAACAGACTCAGGGGGATTTTAAAATGTGTGTGCAATCGTGGGTTCAAGGTACAGGGGATTGCCAGCTGGCTGTGACTTCCTTCGCATAAACCCATGTGAGAAATCACTTGTTTTCCTCATGTAATACCCAATAGCTCTAATAAGCTGCTCGACTAATCATTCTGCAGCACTGTTTTACAGCTCTGTTAAAAGTCTCTTAAGAGCTGCCACTTAACAAGTGTTCCATATGTGTGAGCAGCAAATATCTCTGCTGAAAGAAATCGAGCCTACTTACATGCATAACCAAAAATCTTTTTTTAAAAGAAAGAAAGAAAAGAAAAGACAGAAATTGCCCTGCCCTAAGTAGGTTTGGGTCTGATTAGTTTTCCAGGGTCTCCTAGCAGGTAACAGATGGTGCACGGTTGGCTCTAATTTTGGGGGAAATTAATCTCTGCCTGGCACGTTGCCACTGTTCTAGCACATAGAAAAAGCTTCTGAGATGTAGAAAGCTGGCTGAAACTTCCAAGGGCAAAATCCCAACATGCAGGCACGTACATTTTCCAAGAATATACCTGTTTGTTTGATTAATTTAAAGCCAGCTGATGATGGGCTATGGATCTGATGCTTCACGATTTGAATAATTACAGAGGTGCATTTGCAAGCAGAGTTTCAAGAATTTTCAGATCTGCACCTACTGGAAATAGCCTGACACCGGCTAGGACCAGATAGCCTGGCCGATTTTTCCTCTGACCTATTACTAAATCAATAGCAGGTTATCTGTGAAGTTTCATGGGATAAGGGTTACAAAAACTAAAGCTCCCTTTAGAAAGGAACTAACGAGTGCAGTCAATGAAAGAGAGCAGCTTACTTTCTGATTGGTGAGGAATGCAAGTCAATATCCCAGTGAAAAAGCTACTTCATGTATCATGATTCCCTTGGCAATTTGTCTGTGTCTAGTTAAGATGTTCAGCAGCTATTAATCAGCTACGACATGTTTCAATGCTTGAATTAAAAAAACAACAACACTTAAAGTCAGAACACTTTTAAAGCATAAACTTTCCCTGACTTTGAAATAATCCACTTCTATTCCTTTTCATGTCTCTGTTTGACTTTGCAATAATGTTTTTACTTTTTTCCAGGAAAGCCACACGATTTCTCTTGGGTTCCTAGTGATTGGTGTCAAAGGTCCAGAGAAAACCATTTAAGTTGATCGTGGCTTTTGAATGCAAATATTTCTAAAGCTTAAAAGATATAACCTGCGTATCTACAAACTGGCCCTGATAACAACAGGGGTCATCTTATACCCTCCAACATTTTTCCGATAAAAAAGGGACTTCCCATTCCATAATGATAATTTTACTATTTATACCCCCCCCCATCTTTCTGGATTGCCCCAGCCTCTCCAGGCAGCTTCAAACAGATATATAAATACTAAAACATTAATCATTAAAAAAAAACCTTCCCTGTACAGGGTGGCCTTCTGACGGCTCAGGAGTCGAATAACTCCATACCCCCCAAAGTTTCTCCAGTGAAAATAGGGATGTCTTAAGGAAAAGCAGGACATTCCACGATCAAATAAGAAAATGGGATGCCTTTTCTAAATCAGGGACATCCCTGGAAAATAGGGAGAATTGGAGGGTCTGTCATCTGCTCTTAACCTTCCCTGATGTTATTACCCTTGCATGGTGCTCGGGGTTCCAGCACCCCTTCACAAGCACACAAGGTCATCTTGATAACCCCAAGCCAATGGCTTTGCATATTTAATTATTAGTTTTCCTCATTTTAATAATCTAGCCTTAAAAGAGCTTTCATCTCCTTAAACTGTAAGGATAGCAGCTGCTGGAAAAAGGCACACATGCCATGTAAAGCTTCAGAAGGCTTAGTAGGCCTTATGGACAAAACTGACAAAGGAGGTAAAAATACAGATACTTGGTTTTATCAATTAGCATAAAAGCCCCAGTGAAGCAATGGAAGAAGTTAGTCACAACTACCCGAAGCACCATTTCTTTCAGTGGGATTGGGCACTATGACTCAGTATAGTTGGACTAGGATATTTTTTTTGGGGGGGGGAACAGAGATATAAATATAGTAACATTAAACTAATGGTGTCATACACATGGAATATTTATCCATTTGATATCAGTGCTAAAGTCCCCATTTTACCAGCTAGCAAGAAAGGAAAGCAAATTCCTGAATATCTGTTATCTGTACTGATTACAGCTTCGCTAAGGCTACATACACACTAACATGTTTGTAGTAAAAAATGTATTTTTTCCCCTCAATCTGGAATGGTGCATGCTCAGTCAGCATGCTGCTTTCAAGCTCCATTGATTCTTCCACAAGGCTGTGTGTGGTTACTGGACACACATTTGAAAAGCCTTCCCCCGAGTAGGTCATCTATGCTTCCCCACCCTGAACATGCCCTGGTGAATGAAGTAAGGTGGAGTGGTTATGATCATTGCATTCCCGCACCCACAACATCATTGGCTACAATACTCCCATTGCCAAGACTACCTACATCTGTTTTTGAACAAGCACTGTGTGGGGTAATGCAGAATCCATCTCCAATGTGCTTTTATTTTTGAAATGAAATCAGTTTCCCAAGAAGTGCTTTTCAGGGCAAAACATATCTAGATTATAGGGTGGGGGAGAGTACACAGTCTCTCCAATGATTCTCAAATAAAATATTGTCTCTGCCGAGTCTTCATACAGCTGTATGTTGATTAAGCCAAAAGTCATTCTTTCCACAGCATACTGCATGCTAGGCCAAGAAAATCATCAGCAAAATTGCTCATTCACTCTTCCTTCCTTTAATTTATATAGATTTCTTTTAAAACAGCAAGTGTTTCCAATTTTCTGTTTCATTTTTCCTTCAACAGGTAATCTGATAGATACACTCTATAGCATTATATCCACACTGAAAAGTTTTAACATCTGATTTTGGATATCTCCCTATCACTTTTGTTTGCAATGAAAAAAGTTTAATTAACTGTTGACTAATTTTGCATCATTTTTTTCTTTTTTTTAATGCAACCACATCATATTTACTTCACAGCTACTCATTTTTTCTGTGGTCATGGTATTGCTTCTTATTCTTAATAAACTTCTTAATATCTGTGCTACACTCAAAGATGATATTCCCCCTTTGTGTGTAGACCAGAGGTTTTCAACCTTTTTTGAGTCCATGGCTCCCTTGACCAACTACATTCTTTCCACGGCTCCCCTGTGGGGAAATGCACTCTGAGCACCAGAAGCTCAGTTATGTCACCCCTTGCCTCTCCTCTCCTCTATTTAATAAAACAATTTGGTCATCTTTATGGAGAAACATTGCTCAGACTTGACACTAGTCAGAACATGATGATTATTGCCAAAAGCGGGAGGGCAAGGAGTTGAGAACGATTCAGGACTGAGCAGTGGTTCTTCTGCCACTCCTTTTTTATTACAACATCTGCAGTTTTTCTCCTGTCTGGAGAGGGCCTCTGAGAGAAATTTCATCATAGGGTACAAAGTGTCTTTTGGTACCCTTCCATTCTCCATTAATCATCCTTTTTATACTGCAATGCAAATCAGATCACTGGAAGACATTAGTATTAATAAAAAGAAAGGTAGATCAACTTTCTGGTTACTTTGAATCAGTGCAAATATTAACTATTTCCTGCTTAGGAGAGTTGTATGGAAAAGATAATTTTACCAGCTGTAGTCTGTTATTCATCTGTTCATGAGATAATAATGGTGGCAATGAACTGCTTTGCCCTCCTCTGCTTGTAGGTGGGCAGCTGCCAGTGCCAACACCCAGAAGAGGAAGTAGATGGGGGAAAGAAGCAATATGGTGTTTTATGTAGGCTTACACAAAATGTAAATGCTAGTCTTCATGCAATATAGGTCCTAGGAAATTTCTGGCTCCCCTACTTTGGCTCCCAGGCTCCCCTTTTGACTCTAGGCAGGGGTATGATATATCCCCTGCACTCCCTTCTCTTGGGCCCTGGGTGTGGAAGAGAAGAAAGGTGTGTCTATTTTTGGCCTAGTGCCCTTTGAGCTTAGTTCTCTGATAAAAGCTGATATTGACCACGGTAGAAATGCAAGCACTCCCTTGAGATAAACATAACAACAACAAAATCAATTTCTTAAATGTGCATCCACTTTGCAAACTAGCCTTAAATTGTTGCAAATTGGATGACACTGACTTCATTTTCTCTTCTAATATAATATGACCACATTTTATTTAACAATTATGTTGGTTGGTAAATTCAGGTTAGCATTTAATTCAGGTTAGTGTTCGCTTCTTGTAAACTATTGAGTTTGTTTGCCATTGCACTTAAATTACTAAATTGTAATTTAGTTGCTCATTAGTGATGGTAATTGTCTATATCTTGCCAAATAGCCTGTGCCCACAAGAAATGAGACTTGCATATATTAGAAGAGGGGTTTTTTGTAGATGGTGAGAGCATCAGAATAATTTATGCAATAAATAAACACCTTGCTATGGTAAGTAGTGTTTTGATGGCTATTAAGTGTCCCCAGTTTAATTAGGAAGCACAGTTTTGTGTCATTAAGAAAATGAATGTGAATTTAATGCAGGGGGATTGCAGGTGGCACTGCAGGCATGCCTTAACATGATATTATCTGACACCTGCATTACTTCTGAATACTTCTAGCAACTGTTTATGCATCATCTTGTTATAAAATTAAAGAGCAAATGCATTTTAACCTCATAAATGCTAACCTCAAAAGGTTAGTTTGCTTTTTTCCAGTTACAGTCAGTCAATGACACTTGAGGTATTCCTTCTTACTCTTGACAAAATTGAGTTTTGTCAATTGGTTTTTCATTTCCCCATCTTTTGTTTTGATTCCTTGTCCTTTGGCTGCTGTGATCTATCTCAGTATAGTCAAATAGCCCAGTCATTAAAAATCCCAGGTCATACCTCTTTCCACAGCTGCTTCAGTATAGCACATTGCAGCCTGTTGACTGTAAAAAAAGAGACATGGTAGTGAACACAAAAGTTTGTTTATTGGAAAGCTAATATTGAATTAATGACCTTGATGACATTAGAACCTCAATGCTCAAAATTAGACATCTTCATTATTTTTGTACAAACTATAAAATGCTATAAACCCAGGGTAAATTGCAGCCTCAAAAAAATTGTGACCTTCATTTTTCTCATTAGGTCCAAGTGCATGGTTTTGACTGGGCTGGTCCTCTTACATATGACATATAAATCAGAATCAAATTGTTTAGCCATTTCCCTTAGTGAGGAGAAAAATATAACATTTTCAATAATATTACAAATCATCATGAAAAGCTTAAACAGTCAGCCTGTTGACTTTCCACAACTGACTCAGTCTTATCAAACTGAGCGGATACATTAGCTTTCATACTAGCGGTGTGTATCAGCTGACTCCATTGTTCTGAAACTAGACCTAAAGAGAAGATTTGAGAGCCTGAACCACTTCCATCATCATTCAGCATTTGTACAGGATTTGCAGCTGGACAATTCCCCATTGCATGACTGTTCCCCATTGCACACCACTGCTTGATGCACTAATGGAGTAATGCAACAAATAAAACAGGAGAGATATGCATTCTATAGACAATCCCAAGGTAAGTGGGTGAGCACATGACCAGAATTGATGGTCTAGGTCTTTCTTATGGAATCAGCAACCTGCTGGGATGTGTGCACACAGTTTGTCTCATGATTAGAACAAAGCAATAATGAATGGTGGTTGGTTGGCTCATTCTAAGTGTCCTCTGCATTTCCCTAGTTTTGCCAACTTAGTCAAAAGGTGAGGTTCTCCTTTCTGCGATGAATTTTACTAAAGATCAGAATGGTTAAAGAAACAATATTGTCTATTTTTTTTCAGTGCATGCTTACAGATGAAATGGGAATTCTAATCTAGGTGTGCCATAGTAGTGTTTATTCCATATTAATTGCTAGTCCCACAAAAGTCTATGTTTAAGTTACTGAATTTTTTAAAGAAGAAATAGAAACAGTATCCAGTTCAATAAAAGAAAACATAAGTGGAGTGAACTGTTTAAATATGTCTAAATAAGCAGCTAAAAGTTGTAAACATTTCACAGGGCAAGCCTAAGCAGCTGACCAATAAAACATGACCCAGGAAGAGGGAAATGAGTTTCAAGCCAGACAAACATTGGCAAGCTCTGTTATGAAACACTGTTTTTTTCTAAAGCACACACACATACACAGTGAAGCACAGATGGTTTACAAAGAAAACATTTCTAAGTGTTTTGTGGTTTGACAAAACAACCCCCTTTTAGAAAACTGTGTGTGAGCCAATGTAGCAGGAGACAAATGCCAAGAGGGCTAGCTATGGGCTCACCCAGACTGCCATTTGTCCTATAATTTCAAGTGAGTCAAGTCACAGAGCCAAGAGGTGTTTTTTCCTGTCCTGCCACTTTCCCCAGGAAAACCCACTGAATTGGAACTACTCTACAGTAATGGCATTCCATTGAAAACTTGATTGACTTTGTTCTGATTCAATGATAAACAGCAGATTTTCCCAGAGAAAACCCTGGGACAAAAACAAAGCAAAGCAAAGCAAAACATTATCGGACCTATGACTTGAAATTCACTTAAAATCATGGGAGGAGCGAAAGTGTGATTGGTCTGTGTGTCCGTCTTGTTTCAGGAACTCTTGCTACATTGACTCAAAGAGTCTTATGGCACCAACTGTATACAGTGGTACCTCGGGTTACATACGCTACAGGTTACATACGCTTCAGGTTACAGACTCCGCTAACCCAGAACTAGTACCTCGGGTTAAGAACTTTGCTTCAGGGTGAGAACAGAAATCGCGCGGTGGTGCAGCAGCAGCAGCAGCAGCAGCAGCGGAAGGCCCCATTAGCTAAAGTGGTGCTTCAGGTTAAGAACAGTTTCAGGTTAAGAACAGACCTCCAGAATGAATTAAGTACTTAACCTGAGGTACCAGTGTACTTTTAAAGCACAAAAAATTCTGGGCACTGTAGTTTACCCCTCACAGAATTGCAGACCCCAGCAACCTAAAGTGCCCATAATCCTATGAGGGAAAGAAAGTGCTTCAGATGTCTGTTTAAGTATAGTGTGCACCAAGAGATTGACTTCTTCTTCGGCAATCACACGTAGCGGAGTAAGATTGTCTTCCATAAACACGGTTTTAACAATGAGTCCGTAAGTGACTGTGGAGGCCATTTCTGGATCCACACATCCTTCCACAGTGGGGACATTGGTTTCTGGGCGGGAGCTGATCACGGTGTGGATTTGCCAAGCATGCCTTCCTCCTAGCACATTTCTCCCTTGCATCCTGAGTTCAAGTGTCTTCAAAGCCCATGACACCTTTGGTAAAGGCTGTTCTCCAACTGGAGCGCTTGCAGGCCAGTGTTTCCCAGTAGTCAGTGTTTATACTACATTTTTTTAGATTTGCCTTCAGACAGTCTTTAAACCTCTTTTGTTGACCACCAGCATTACGGGTTGACTGTGGCATAACCTTAAAAGTACTTTCCCCAGCTGCCGGTCTGTTCATTGCAGGGGTTTCTCCTGCTGCATTTGCTAACAAGACAACAATATCCTGTCTGCCTGAAGCACTGGTAGCTCACCTGGCGCCCTCCAGATGTTGAAGGCTTACAATTCCCATAATCCCCGGCGGTTGGTTATGCTCTCTGGGGCTGATGGGAGGCCAACACATCTCACGGGCCCCGCGTTTACTACACTTGCCGTGAAGACTGTGGCAGCATCACTTTTTAAAGTGCTATAGGTGCGTCTATGAGCGAAGCAGGAGGCAAATCACGGCAGGTTAGCTGTGTCACAAGAACCCTCTTTTTCCTATAGGGACACGAAGGCGGGAAAGAAAAATAAAAAGCCTTGCGGGCCCTTTAGACTTGTTGTGGCGTCAAGAGTAGCTCCGCCCCGCGCCCTTTCGGAACCGTCTTTTCTCACGCAACGTGGGTTGTGTCGTCGTGTCACCAGAAAGGCGATAAGCCCGCTCGTTTCAGCACAGCGCCAGAGCGCCCGTCTGTGCGTGTGTTTATTTGTGTGAGAGAGACGGCAGGAGAGAGTCGCTTCTCCTCAGCCGCGCTCCAGGACCCCGCCAAATATTGCGCGCTCGGGGACTCCCGCGTGACGCGAGGGCTTCTCCGCCGCTGCCTCTCCACAGAACGGCCCCCTTGGCTCTCCGGAGACATAAACTTTTCTCCTCCCCTTGCGGGGACTCGCCTGGCGTGTGGAGAGGGAGCCGCTGAGATCCGCTGCGGAGGGAAGGAGGGACTGCCGCCCGGTCCTTGCCCTGCCCTGCCGTGCCCTCCCTTTCCTTCCCCTTTATATGCAGCGCTTTATATGCAGCGCCTCGGGGACACGCGCTTCGTGGGACTTCCAGAGGCCGGGACCCTCGGGCGCGCCAGCTGTTCTCAGGTACCCGCTTCGCTCCTCCTCCTCCCCTGCCTCCTGCCATTTGCCCCGCCGGAGTTTCCTCGGCTTTCCAGACCCAGATCCTCTGCAGGTTGAGGAGGAAAGGGACCGAGCCGCGGCGCTCTGACGGGTCACTTGCCGCGAATGCCCCGCTTGACCCCGGTGGCGTGCCTTTATTTTGACGCGAGCGAAAGTTAAAAACGGGCGGTAGAGAGAAGGGCTCCTGCCACCTGAGGCGAAAATTAACACACATGAACCCGGGAAAGTCTCGGCTCAGCAGCCCAGGCGCCTTTTTCATATTCTCGCGCTTGGAGGGACGGCGTCTTCTTCGAACCTCGCTGCTGGTCTCACTCGCCCCTGACGCGCAGCGAAAGATGCTTCTGCCTTTCGTCTCTTGCATTTATTAACTCCGCAATAGGCTTCTGAAGCTGGGCTTGTTTAAGTTAGACTCCCCATAACTTTCCCCCTTTCCTGTAAGGCTATTTAACCCCACGAATATTCTGCCTTTCATATTTACAAGCGAAAGTTACAAATAACTATGGGTGTGTGCCAGCCAGCCAGCCAGCCAGCCATGCACGCCCTCTTCCAGCACACTCCCTTCCGCCCCATTCTTCCATTCTTTCTCCCGCCCGTTTTTCTCTGTACTTTAAAACAGTCAGCCAGCACTGAAGGTAATATAATGGTGGGGGGCGGCAGTGCCTAATGGTAATGCCGGCTAAGTTTAGCATGAAACAGCTGGAACTGGTGGTGAGGAAAGGCAGTCAAAGGCAAAAGGTAAATAGCAGCCTGTCTTCCCATCCCATTGGCCAGTGACTTCTCCGCCTCTAGCAGTCAGAGGTGTACCTAGGGTCCCTTGCACTCTTGGCAAAGAGCGGCATTGTTGCCCCCCCCCCCAATCAGTTTATTGCAATAGCCACATTAGAAATTATATTTTACAGGACCCAAATACTCAAAAGCGTCTGGAGTGAGGGCAAGGTGAGAAGGAAGGGCAGAAAAATTCACACGCCTTTGTGCCGTTTGATGTCGCCGCAGCAGAGGCAGCATGTCATCATACACATAAATATCATACATTCCATAGTCTGATAGTTGATTTTTGGTGGTGGTGGGGAAGCAGTTTCGCCAACTCCTCGGTACACCTCTGCTAGAAGTGCATCCTCTTCTGAGCTTTGCTGCTTTGCAGGGGCAAGGGGACTGGGTGGGTAGTGTATAAGCAGGAGAAGGTGGTGGCTCTCTTGTCCACCCTACCTGGGCCTGTGTGCTAGCTGTTAAGCACAAGTGGCCCTCTCATGTCTGTTTGCTCTTTGTGGGCAGTGCACTGTAGCAGAGTGCTGGCCACAGAAGGAGCAGCCACTTCTCCTCACTCAATCACTTGCACTCTGGATATAGTGGGGTTGTGACAGGGCCCAATGAATTTATGCAACGTAAAACATTTGAAAGTCCATTTTTTCTTGCGTAGTCTTAGTTTGGGTGTGGCCATAGGGGTATGGCTAAGGGGACTGTTGCGCTGAACTCAAGCACTTCTAAATTTACTACTACATCATTGTGTGTTTTCATTGCTGGTATTTTAAGTTGTAATCCACCTTGAAATGGTATATAAATGCAGTAGACAATTTCACATGCAACAAGGCCTACTTATCTGTAATATCAGCAGGTGCCTGTTTCCACCAGCATATTCTTGATAGCAGCCATGGGGGGGGGACTGCTGCTCCTGTTATAGAAGTTATGATCATGATCAACTGATTGACATATGAGGTGGTTAGATGTTATTGAACTACAACCCCCACCAGCCCTCAGCCAGCATGGCTAATGGTCAGCAGTGATGGGAGTTGTATTTCTAGCACCTTTGGAGGACCAGTTTACCCCCTCCCAACATACATACATTAACTTTTTTTATGTCATGATATGTTTCTCTATGTAAGTGTTGATATATGTATGGCTCAGAAAGGCTTGGTGTGTACACAGAACAAAGTGTTGTAGGAACAAACTCCTAGAGTACACCATGAAGGTGTAACCCCACCCATCTTAACAGATGGTAAAGCATTACTTTTGTTTACCTCTTCCTGTCTTTGTGTAACCACAGCAATCTATTTTGACCATTAGCCAATGTAAATTTTTAGCAGCTACATGAGGGAAATCAACATGGATGCTTCCAGATAAGCTTGTTTGGTGGAGGCTGGTCCATTAGGACAGGTGGGACATTGCCCACTTTAATAATTAGGTTTGTACAATTACTGGTGCTCATGTTAAGGGCCGGCTCACACGTGAGGCAGACTGAAGCAACTGCTTCAGGTGACAGGATCTCACGGGATGACACTCCTATGGGCTGCCGCCAGGGTTGCGTGGTGGCAGTTTCTGGTGAGAACTTGCAGAATCTCATGAGAGTTCTATGAGATATTATCAGAGGCTGCTGCTACAGTGTAAGTGAGGCTTCGGTGGAGTGGGGACAACTTCTCATTTCATTTCAGGCAGTGAAATGGGATGGGCTACCCCTGCTCATTTTATTTATTTAAAAACAAATTTCCAAGTTTCCCAAATTAATGCTTTCTTTCCTTTTAACTCTTACCTTGAGTTCTTCACATGATTTAGGGTTGGCATTAGGGGAGAGCAGCGCTCTTTTGTGTTTAATAGCTGTGGGGCAGGCATAAATAATTATGCAAAAAGAAGTGCATTTGGATGAACTTGAACTGAACATAGGTCCATTATTTTTAATAGGTTTACCCTGAGTAAAGTTTAGTTGAATCTCACCCTAGACTTAGAGTAAAGACGACACCCTTTTATGCATGTAGTTGTGGTGTGAACACCTCTTTATCGAGAAACAGATTGGTTCTAGTCAATTCCCCTTTAATGTCTTACAACTGTACTTATAATACAACCAGTAGTTTATTTTCATTTGCATATGTGGCTATACGTACAGAATTAGAGCAGAATAGTATAAACCACTTCTACCATTCCTCAGGGATTTCTTTCACTACAGCTCGTTAACGTTCACTTTTTACCAGTGGGGTAAGCAGCCATTCATTGCTAGTAATTTTCCAGCTTTGGCACTATAGTTAATTGTTAAACTATTAAATTGTAGATTGTGATTTATAATGTCCATAATGGCAACAATCTCTAAGCATTCACTCTGTTCTGTCACTGGAAACATACCCTAATCTCTTGCAGCATAAAATACAGTACAATGACTTGTAATGACACACATATCTTATTACCTGCTGGTAATAAGCTATCAACAAGGATGACAGTTTAATTATATAGTACATCTCCTGCTGGCAAATGACTAGCTCCCAAATATTTCTGCTGCTCTTCACCATTTTTTTAAAGAAAACGTGACTCAAAACTCTGGGTGCCTTAAATTGAATTTTTACTTAATATGTTGATGATGGGTAACACTAGTTTCAAACCACTTCACTGGTGTTTTTAGTTATTCAAAATATTTATATACTGCATTTTATTAAAACATCTCAAGGCAGTTTACACACACACACACACACACACACACACACACAACACACAGTCTAGCAATGTTAATAGCCAGTACAGAATTTAATTTAAAATGTTATGACAACTGGTTAGCATGGTCTTAGTTGTATAAGCACCAGTAGGTGGTGTTGTGTTAGGGAGGTTAGAGGTGGAAGTTAGAATTCTTTTACCTCTCCCAACATAGTTTCTCGGCTGTTATTCCTATGTGGTGTCAGAGTAGAGATGATCCATAGTGTTCTGACAGTCTCACAAAACAGAAAGTAGGGCACAGGTTTCCATTCAAGGCATTCTAGGAATTCCCAGTTCCTGCAGTCAGTATTTATTATTGTTGTTACATTAACAGACAGAGGAGAGCCCTGGAATTGAGAGAGCCTGCAGGAAGAAAGCACAACTTCTGCAGAAAAGAAGAGTTGTGTGAAAAAAGATGGGAGAGGCCTGCAACTGAGAGAGCCTATAAGAATCTGCAAGGGTGAGTCTAGTCTGTCCCTATCCTCTTTGATTGTAGACATTGCCACCCTATCCCCAATCTGCTTCCAAGTTCTGCCCACAGCAGAATTTGATTTCCACCACCCTGAAACCTAGCCACTTAGGATAAGCAGATCCCAAAGGTCTCCCCAGCCATCTGGCCTTGACCAGCAGGTACAGGAAAACTAAGTATAGATGGGTGGGGTATCAATAATAATAAATTATTATTATTTATTATTATTATTACCATGGCCTCATCAGTAGAGAATCCTCTCAAGGAAACTCACTGAAGTTGAGAGGAAATAGTTTAAAACAGTTAAAGAAGAGTTAGATGACCACTTACCACTTTACTGCAATACAGGTGACTCACTGTTTGCATGGGGGTTGTGTTCCTGCCTACTCCTCCCGCATGTCCGCAGAGTATGGCTTTCGGGCCGCTTCTAGGTCCATGACAATGAACACGTCTGTCATTGTCTGTAAAATCTGTTTCTGCAAGCAAGCAAGAGGAGAGTCAGTTTCTCACTTCATCACTTCCCTTGTATGCCTACATCCAGCACTGTGGATATGGGGAGATGAGTAAGGCACTAATTCAAGACAGATTCAACATTTAGCATAATAAATCCGTATGGCCATATGATGGCAACATGCTGTTTTCTACTTTTCTGCTCATGGTGGAGGTGATGGAATGTCTGGGAGAGGTGTTTTTTTTTGGGGGGGGCATTCTAGCTTCGTAACTGCTTTTTAACTTGGTCAGTACAATTTTTAGGGAAGTAAAAAGGACAAAGTCACAAGATATGGGAGTTGGGTGCTAGCAGCCTCTTGGTAGCTTTTTCTGACCATTGCAGTGTAGTGTTTATGGGTGATTAGTAAGGAGCATTAAGAAGTAACAGAAAGGTTGAAAGTTTATGCTCTGCCCCATTTGAGCTGGGTTAAAATGTTTCTGGGGAGACAAAAATTATGCTTTGCTTGCTTCTAGCTAATATCTGAGGCCAAAGTTAAAGTCTGACGTATGTAGAGAAATGAAATATCTTGCTAATGCCTGGTGTATGAGACAAAATGAAATGTCTTTTGTTTTCTTCTTCTCATGTTCCTATCACAGTCAAGGTATTAATAACCACCTGTTTTCTTGTAAATAGAAAATATAAATATAAACAAAATATGACAACCATAGAATATTAACTGGCAGATGTTTTAAAGAAGAATTACCTTTATTTTATTGATAAGCTTAGATTTAATTTGCTTTCTTTTAAATTGGGGACTACTACTAGTGATTAATGATCCTTAAGCGAAAAGAACCAGAAAGATAAATCAGTTCCTTGTGTGGGAGCTTTAATCTATTGGACATTGGCAGAGTAAGAAATGTTCCGTTGCTGGCAAAGCAAAATGCCCTATTATGATTTATGCACCTGTTATGGCTTGTGGCTTTTTTTGCCTTGGGAACCTTGTGAGTTTGGTAACAGCTCTATTTGAAATTGTACACTGAGCAAAATCAGAGAATTGGGATAACTTAATTTTCTTTAGAAACTTTTTTTAAATAAAAAAGTAAAAGCATATTGCTGTATTTAAAATAATAAATTAATATGATAAGCAAATTTGCTGAGGAAGATTCGAGCACACATCAAGCATACACATGCATTAGAATGTGTGGTTAAAATGTCCAAAGCCCTTAAGATTTAATTGGGTCCTGGGACAGTTCTACTCATGTATCCTGTTTCAAAATGTATTTATTTGAAAGTAAGTCTAATTACTGGTAATTTAGTAGAGCTTGCTTCTCAGTAAGCATCCTGAAGACTTTTATCTATATATGAGATCCTTAAGAATTTGAAAAATGAGATAATGTCTTTGGTAGGCATTTTGCGTAGTTTGTGTAGAACAAAATGCAAGTGTAAATAGAGCAATATGAAACGAGCAAACAAAAACACTGGTTCTTCTTCAATAATAAAGAACAGTAAACATTAAAAAGCTTGAAAATACCCTGCAATTGCAGAGATCTTCAGATCTGCTGCAATGTGACCTGTCACTTTGCTTATGGCACACTGTGAACTTATTTCATTGTAGAATCTTCAATGGTGTCACATAATTTTTGGTTTGAGCACTGGGATCCGATTTATAGCCTGGCAAGAGAACAATAACAACAGCAAAATTCTAGATGTCTAGAAAACTTCAAATTCATTGATTTCCTAGTTAAAATGATTTGAGAGGCTACCTGTGATTTTAAATGACTGTTCAGATTTCCCCTCCATTTCTGTTTCCTTTCCTGTTGTGTCAGATGTCTTCTTATATTTTTTGCAGCTTTTAACATTCTTTTTAGAAGGCAAATAGACACTGTCCGTATTTATTTCTGTTCCATGCTTGCTTACTTTTAAGGCACTTTATAAACAAAAATGCAACCTCTTCTTTAGTTAAAAATGTCCCCAGATCAGACTTCCTGTTTCCTGCTGAGGGAAATGGCTGCCACCCATGAGACTGGACCCCCAGTAGTGCCAGAAATCCAGGGTTAATATGAGTGTAATTAGCTCTGTCAACCCCCCGAGGGTAGGGGAGCTTAGCCACCCGCAGATCGTCCATTATCAGCCTCTCGTAACAAGATGGAGGGGCTAGGATGCTGGGCGTTGCATGGCACAAACTGGGAACTCTCTGGGGTCAATCTCTCGAGCAGGGAATACCTGATTTCTAAAAATTAAAAAGATTTGGACAAAAGTCTTTCTGGACAGAAAGAGATAAAAGGAAAATCTGCTAAACTACACAGTCACTGGAGGTCAAGCTTTGGACTTCAAAAAGACTCCCATCTTGGTGTTTTGATTAATGTGGTGAGCGGCTACTGTATTTTTGTAATTGTTATATCTTCTCCCTTTGTGGCATCTTTCCAATATTTTTTTTTCAGGAAACAATTGCAGGGGGGTCGTGGGAGTTGTTTTACTGCTTTTTCTCCATGACCCTGGAACCCTGGAACACTTGGGATACTGGGACACTCCCTCCTCCTAACGTAATTTCTCTCAGTCACAGACCACACGTTGCTTCCAACGTCTCATGCACTCAAAACCTTCACTGGAGTGTCCCCACACGCACATTCAGAAACCCATGCACCTCCCCCAATCCCCTTTTTACCAAAACCAACCACAACCGGCAGCGCTTAGACTTCGACCGGGGCCCAAGAGCACCTTTTACTGCTTTTTCTGGGCGAAACCAAAACCAGTGGCACTTCTTCTACCCTGCTGGCAGAGCTGATCAAACTCTCTTTGCTCCCACCTAACCCTGTGGAGCTTGCTCCCACCTATACCCTGTGGAGCCTACCTTGTTCCTCGAGGTACCTTCTTTCGGCCGTTGCTTTTTCTCCGGTCCTTGCAGTGTGTCCACTCAGGAATGGGTGGCAATTCCTCCCACGAACTTGGCAGGATGTGCACTGGAACTGCTGACACGAACCAAGCTGTTCACCGCAGGGACGCCTTGAACCCACATCCCTTATCCTCAGGGAATGTTGTTTTTTCCCGGCCAACGCACCAAGAAATGTAGCCTTATGAGGCTTTGCCCTCGGGTGGGAAAAATATTGCGCCCGGGAAAGGGAAGTGGGAGTCAACAGACACTCAAGGAACAGTTTCTGAGAAAAGGCTTTTATTTCTACCATCCATGAACTGGTAGAAGGAGCAAGTGTGATAAGTCACAAAAAGCATGCACGAGTTCACAATCATGTGCACAAGCATATATACCCCTTTCCAGTTCCCTCCCCCTTTCTCCTCCCTCAGGAGTTCCTCTGAGCATGAACAGAAAGCTGTCTTGGGACTATTGTGGACTCTTGGCACCCTTCCCAGGAAAGGGGGGGGGTGAGAAGCCAAGGGGTTTTCAGCATGTTCAGATATGTTTCAATCTCTTGTTCTGGCATGGTTCCCGGACAGAAAGTAAGTTGCAATGTGGTTCTTTAGCAAGGCCAGAAGACATGAGAAAGGCCTGAGAAACAATGGACTGTTCTCTACCTTTGTTACAGCAGAGCGGAATGTTTCTGATGCTTAGCTGCTGAGAAAATGATTTTGAAAAGTTTTGAGAAGCTTTGAGCCTGCTTTGGTGGGGGGGTGACTTCGGGCCTAGGTGAGGTCACCTGTCCTCACCTTCCTTCAATATCAGCTATTTCATGATTTGGCGAACCTCACCAAGAAAGAATTAATTACCTAAAGGAAACCTAGGAGGGGCAAAATTAATTGGATGTATGGCACCACGGTCCTCGGCGGAGAGTCCTAATTAAAATTGGCAGAATAAGATCAGATATGAAAATGGCTTGGGCTGAGCAGGAAAGATGGCGCTGGTAGCAGCTGTGACGCAGCAAGAAAAAGGAAAACAAGGAACCTCCTTTATCTGAGGGAGGCCGAAGTTACTTTATCATTTGAACTACAAAAGGGATGTACTTTACAAAAAATGCATGTGCTCACACGGAATATTTTTATATATGTTTGAAAAGAGAGTGACGGTGAATTCTGGATGCCTACTAGCTCTCCAGGGCCCTGGAGAGCGAGCGTGGTTATTTTTTGGAGAAACTGGGAACAATCTTTATATAATTTATTGACTGTCAAGTACACCCCATGGTATAGAACTTGAAACATCAGCTTGTTATGAGAGATCAAAGTCAACATGGCGTCATTAATTTCAACCTTGTATGGAAGCCCAGAGCAAGAAATGGTAGAGAAAGGCGGGGCTACTGAAAGAGGAGTGTGTTTCCAAATAATAAGACTGAGAACAATATGGAATAAAAATTTGCCTCCTACGTGATTATAGAAATATGGAATCGTCAAACAAAACAAGATGGAGAGTCGTATACCAGAGACTGATTGACTGAGAGATGCGGGAAGAAAGCTGAAAAGAAATGAAGGACAGTAGCTCTTGGAATTCAGAACACGGGAAGTCACCCTTTGAAATTATTTAATTCAGACTTTATAATTGGCTGTATTGGTGTTTTTCTATGTGGCAAGATTTGGTTTGATTCGTTATGAATAAAAATTATTTACAAAAAAAGTCATATGCTTTAATTAGTGAATTAAGAAAGCTTTCCGCTCAATATCATGAATAAGTTGAACCTTTTCACAATATGAAATGAATATGAGATACTTCCCCCCTCAGCAATACTTATAATACAGGAAGTGAACCTCTATGGACCACTGCAATACCTCCCCACTAGTCCTTGACTGATGTTGCACCGAGTGGACAGAGCTGAGTCAAATCTGGCCATGTCAGGTTGGCCCATTTGTTCATGATCAAATAATGAATCACCCTGGTTCTATCAAGAACCAACATGGAATTCAGCAGCAGAACCAGCAGATTGTTGGGGGCAGTGGTAGAGCACTGATAAGTACCACAAATAAGAGGGAACTCAGTGGGTGATATTAGGCACAAGCACCTATCACCACTCCTTCATAATCTCCCTCTGCTATGCCTGCTCCTCCTCTTAATCACTGAGATAGGCCATCCTACCACATTCATCCAATCTCTGCTCCTGAGGCACATCTTGTACATAGAACACCCTGCTAAAACAGTTCATACACAGAATTTATCATGCCTCTAGGTCACACAGGCATCAACACATGACAGCCAGATCTCACAGGACCTGCCATAAATACACCTATCATCCGAGCAAATTATATGGTATACAGTGTTCCACCTTATCTCTCACCTGGGGCATAAAACCATCTCTTCTCTACACCTGCCTCAAACCCAGAGGCAGGAGTGCCAACTTGGCCCCATGACCATGGGTGCTCGGGGCCATGGGTGCCATGCAGTGTTCATGGCCCTGGCACCAAAATTTGTGGGTGCCCGACTCCTTCATAGGGAATTTTGTGCTTGGGCACCCAGGGTCCCAGGAAGTTGGCACGTATGCCCAGAGGATATAAACTCTCAAAGACACCTCAGTCTCTCACAGTACAGAACCCAAAAGCACAAAGCCTATGTATTTCATGCATTCTCTCATCCCAATTTGTGCTATATTCAGTAAACAAATATCAAATATTCATTGTTCATTTTGCTGTTCATCTCATTGTTCATCTTGCTGAAGATAAAATTAAATGCCTGAAAAGGTCACCAAATACTGCATCTTACATGACAGATAAATTATTTCTACCTATTAGCAGTTAATGTATTTTGTTTTGGATACTTGCATGACTAAATCACCAAGTACAATTGACATCAATGACTTTTAGCAGCATACTGACAGTTGCTGAAACTGTCTTATTCTTTTATTTCCATTTTGAGCATGATTGACATTATGAGAAGTGGCACATAATCTTGCCGCTTTAAAATGATTGTTGCCAGCATCTATTTTTAATTAAAGCATGTCACCAGAATGGAACATAGATTTATGGCTGCGCAGGGCTGATCACACATGCATACTCATCATCCAAGTGCCCCCCCCTTCACATCTTCATTTTTTCACATTTGTTCTTATAACACCCCATATAAACCTGCACAAATTCTTTGCTCATTCCGAAAGGGTGAGAAGGACTCAGACGGGAGAAGTGTTACAACTTGCTGAACATTTGCTCACCAACAAAGGGAAATGACTTGCAAATGCCTGAGGTTTTATGGCTGTCCTTAGAAAACGATGCATAATTTATGTGCCACATAAATATTGTAATTCCTTCATTTAAATGTCCTAATAACTTAAAGCACTGCATAATGAGGGCAAAACCTACCGTTTAGTATCAAACTGTACTTTTAAGTAGCATGGATATCCATACCTTCAAATATTCCTTTCTAGAATACACCCCTTCTTTCCTAGGATAGTTGGTTTTCACAACACGATAAGCCAAAACTATGAGACCATGCAAATATGCAGGCTCCCAGAAAGAAGCTTGCTACCTCTTTCCTTTTCCTAGGCCTTTTGATTTCTCCGGAGCTGAGCTAAGGTTTGGCTTTGCATGTTATCTGAACCTGGGCTTGTGTTTTAATTGAAACTGAATCCTATAAATACTGTAGTGTTATGTGTTCCAAGTTCTCAAGTCCAGGAGGTGGGAAGATGGCTTGTTCTGGACAGGGTTGCACTCCCTTGGAAGGTAGCAGGTTTGCAGGTTTAGGATACTCCTGGATCCAACATTGTCACTTGAGGCCTAGGTGGCCTTGCTGCCTAGGAGTGCCTATTTCCGGTTACAATTGGTTTGCCAGTTGTGGCCATTTTGGGGCAGTGATGACTTGATTATAGTACTCTACGCTCTTGGAACGTCCAGATTGGATTACTGAAATGTGCTCTGTGTGATGCTGCCCTTGAAGACAACTTGGAAATTTCAACTGGTTCAAAATGCAGTGGCTGAGACTGCCTTTGGAACTCACATGACTCATTTCAAAAACAGCTGCATTGGCTGCCAGATCTGGCAGCCAATGCAGCTGTTTTTGAAATGGGTCTTCTTCTTCTTCTTTGAAAAAGATCCATTTCTGAAACAGCTGCATTGGCTTCTTTGAAGACAATATCAATTCATGACTGTCAATGTTTCTCTTCATCCTAAATGCCTCTTTCTCATGTGTATTGTTATGCACACCCCAAAACTCAAATGATGAGGTTTCGAGGATGCAGTACATACTCAGGTTTTGTTTCCTTTGAATGAGCTCACTTTGTAAAATGTATGTTTATTTACAAATATACAGCTAGAGCATAATATGGAGGTACACCATGAAACTACTACAATGATTAGTCCAAAATCCTTTGTTCTTCTATAAAATCAGGAGGGCGTCATGTTGGCTATCTATTGGTTTACGGAGCGGCAAGAACCTTATGAGTCTTTCGGAGGCTAACTCAGTGCTCCACGTGTCTTCCTTATCCCTGTCTAAAACTGCAGCTTCTTCATAACCAGATTGATGGAATAATCTCCCACAGGGCAGAGGAAGGTAGGAGAAAGAAGACATGTCCTTGTCCAATAGTCTTGCTGTTTCCTCATTATTCAAGGAAATATGGTCTTACTACACTTGGTGCTTCTGGCAAACTATAACCTCATTTTACTTAACTAAACAAACGAAGAGTGTGCCTGGACAAAACTTGCCTTACAGGTTTCAGGCTCATCAACCCTTTTTCTTGGAACCAAGAACTACACAGTTGAAAGCTACCCTAAGCAGTGTTAGAAACTGAGATATGAAAGATAGGAGCTAAATGGCACCTTAAACCTATGTTATGGGCACAACAATGGAATGTTTAGGCATGGGGGTTTTTTATAACAAGAATACAAAGCTGAAAAATGAATGAGCAGCAGCTAAAATATTATGTTCATTTTTCACATGGTCTAGTCCTTCTCCTGCCCACCTCCCTAATATTCTTAAGGGGTCTCTTCTCCAGCCTTCAGAGAGTAGGTCTTTTTCTGCCTCCCCACTTCCACCTTCCTTTGCTTTCCCTCTGCAGTTTTAATCTAAAATCTTAGGTGCAGTACTGTGCCCAGAGCTTAGAAACTGCTTGTGTTAATGCAAAATGCACCTAGAACAATGTGAGTTTCAAACACTAACCCTTAAAGATAATCCAACCTAACATCCAAATCCAAAATCTAGTTATTTGTTGTAGTTGCTGGTCTGCATTGGTTGCTTATAGTTTTAGAATCTTGGTTGTTCTTGTTTTGGTTTTACAGCACTCTGCCCTGTGATTCCTTGTTGATGAAGGGCAGGTTAAAAATTACTTTGAATTAACTAACGGTATGTTGGGTCCTTGCATTTATTTATAAAAGGCACCCCTAATTCTTCTCATCCTTTTTTGCCAGGCTAACTGAACTCCCTCTTGTCACATTTTTAAAAATAAAAAAACCATTCTTCTAAAACATTCATGATTTATAGTAATTAAAAGTATTCAGGGTGCACCAAAATGAATGAGGTATTTCCTTTTTTGGCTGGAGTAACTATTCTCTACTAATTCTGAATGTGCTGTTTGTTCCAACATTTTTTTCAAATAGTCCCCACAAAATCTTGTATCTGATTGGTATATTTATATGTTTAATTAACTGAAAGATTTCTAGGCCTCATTTCAAACAAAAGGTTTCACAGAACTCAGCTACATTAGTAAAGAAATAACGATTTGAATGTGCAGACAACAGACAACACCAGATGGCGCCAGAGAGCTAGAAATTTTTATATGCAATTTTCCATAGGGTTTTTTTTTCTCCTTTTGTTATAATGATCCAATTTCTGATTTATTTATAGTGGGTTTTCCTTTGTGTAGATCCACCCTCCATGTATCACACGAACAATATATACCAACAAAGAAGCTATAATACAGTTTTAAACCAAATAAAAGCAAACACTTCATTACCACTAGTAGGCAGCACCTACTAAGAGCATTCTGACATAATATGGCCATACTAAAAAGCAAAACACACCCACAGACAGGCCATTAAAGGCAACAGTAAAAAAAGTAGGCCTTTAAAACCCATGTAAATATTTTGTGGGATGGAGCGTGCTGAACTCCTCAAGGAATTGAGACCCATAACCGTGGGGCTACTGCCAAGAAATAGTGTGAATCTTCAGTCTGCTAGACAAAAAAAAGACCCATTGATTATTTCAAACTAAGATCTTATTCACCTACC